GAGTCAGGGAGATACTGCTATCAGAGCTCCAACACGGCAGGATGTGACATGTGGAGAGCAGGAAGAAGAAACTGGACAGATATAGATTCATTTGGTAACCGCTCCTGAAAACATGTCTCTCCCATTAGGGGCTTCGGTGGGAGTTAACGTGCTTATCAAAGTGTGCCTATTCCTAACCCCTGTGGTGCCTCTGCACACAGCTCACACAGAGAAAGACCTGCTCAATGCAGAATGTATCAATGTGTTTTCTATTATTTCAAGTTCTAGGACTACACTTATTAGCTTGTGGAGGGAACATTTTCTCCAGAGTTATGGGTCACGCCCCAGGGTCACATCTCAAATCTAATTAGACTCAATGTAGGTCATTGATAATAAGTATGACTTACCACAGCTTATCTAATTTGACTATGTTATAACGGCTCAACAAAAAAAAGGCTGCCGTTAAACAATGGGTCTCACAAGCGCTTTGAACACCAGGAAAAGCACTATACAGTATATGACATGTATTATTATTACTTACTAAACTGAAAAGAAAAGGGGAGCTTTATGAAAACACTCCTGTACAGAGTACTGAAACTCTAAAAGATTTCAAAACAGCGGGAGGACGAGCCTATAGCTTCATCTACTCTGTGTAGTACTGAGTCAACAATTTGACTTAAGGTCCTTCTAGCACCAAATGACCCAACAAAAGAGTTTCAGTCAAATTCTTCAGATGTTACTTGACAGGTGGTACAAATATGGGAAACCATTTGTTTCATTAGTGACAGTGACATTTGTTCTTTAGGACAAATATCAAGGAAATAAATTAGGTAGCATAATAAATCAGGTGACATTTCTTTCAGGACTTTGTACAGGCACACGCTATGATCTTTCTGTTTATCTTTAAACAGGTACATATGATAGTATATCAAACAGACCTGTTCTTAAATAAATAAGTATAGAAAGTATAACCATATCCAGTACTGTACAGTTTGTTAAGGATAGATGCATCCTTTCGGTTGGCTTTGGATTTTAGAGAGAGAAACTGACTAACAAAAAAGGAAAACACGTGGAATCAGATGAAATACTTATGGTTGAATTTAAAACCCAAAAGGTTTTATGCAGTTTCACAACCAAACTCAAGGGCTAATGTTTGGTAGGACCTAAATAAATTGTAATAGATGCAAGATCTAGAGATCTCAATGTTCAAAAGCTTGTCTTTTTCTTGGTACTTATGTTTATGAAATCACACGTGGAAGGTAACAACAACAGGCACAAGCAAGAATGAACCTGGACACATGAGCACAACACAAGTATAGGCAAGGCTACATTCATGGAAAAAACGTAAGGTTCCTAATAATGGTTCAAATTAAAACCTGAAGCCTATGATATAAGAAATGGAAGGTCAGTTTGAACTGTTTCAGAGAAAGACACTTTTATAAAGCTGATCTCTGGTCAGATAACAAGACATTTCGTTTTTATCAAAATGAGCATTGGTATTAGTTCTTAACTTTCCTTTTCCATAAAACATGTTCAGAGAGAATCCTAGATTATGCTTATGTCAAGAACATATCACATAGCAGCAGCATGGGTGTGTCAGCTCAGCTGTTAACGTTGAGGCAGATAGCCATCTGCTCCAGCATGGTATTTGGATATCTAAAATGTCACAAGAGGTGAAACTAAACAGATGAACCTACAGTAGCACCAGTTTGGTTTAATTTAGCAACCCCATGTGCTGCATTGGTTAACAGTCTGTCATGAGGAGAAAACTACAGCAGAAGTTCAGTTTCAGCCTGAGGGAGAGTGGGAGTAGCTGAGGGGCTTCTGTGATGCTGGCATGCATTCAAACATGAGCCACAAAGCCAAGATAAAGGGCGGTGGTTATGAGCGCTGTCATATGCATGGAGAATGTTTAAAGCCCCCCTTTCAAGGTGAAAAACCACATGTTTGGGTCTCACGGTGCGGTAGTTTGTGTCAATGTTGTCAACTTACCTTCAGAGAGCTCCAGCTCCAGCTCCGCCAGCTTCTCCCGGACCTCCGCGGGCAGGGTCATAGCGACAGCCGGCGTGGGCTCCAACATCATCGTTAGCAACCCGGAGGAGGTTCTCTCAGCCATGGTAAGAAACACGGATAGGTCCACAGTCGCCGGTGAGTAGGACAACCAGAAATAAAAAATAAAATAAAACCAACAACCCCTCCTCACTTGGTTTCAGCGAAGGAGGGCAAACAGGGTGTTGGTGCTCGTCTCACTGCAACGTCGTACAGATGTGTGAGAAATCTCTCCAGCCGTCATGACGCGGCTAGCGGTGAGGCTAGCAGACACACCTGGCTGTGTGTTTCCATGTAGTGTGCTACCACGGGGTCCTGCCAGTGTCTCCGTGCCTGCTGTCTGTCCCTCGGCACCGGCGGTGTCCTGTCTGACTGTCCGCGGCTGCTTCACTTCAACTGTGGAGGGAACTCATTCAACTCCTCGCTTGCTTCCCACGGCGCAGTCGCCATTAACAGCAGCCCCGGCCGTGCGCGTTCACGAGCCCTGCTCCTCTGTTTGTTTCCTGATGTTCTTCAAACAACGTGCCTGCCTCCTGCTGACACAAGCACAGTGCTGCGTGGCACCGAATAATGTTCTATTGAACATTTCAGGTGTTTTTTGCATTTGATCATTCACACAAGAATGTTAAGGTTGAATATATTATACTGTTTTATGACATTATAAGCTATAGGCTACTGTAAAAAAAACAAAAAACGATCAATACAACATTTTAATCATATCATTGTTACAGTAAGCACTTTACTTCACATTTACAATAGGTTTCATTTTGAGACAACTAACCTCAGTAGCAGGTTGTAACAATGGAACTAGATTTTTAAACATTGCTTTCTGTAATAGACAAATAATGGTACTTTATGTCAGTATTTGTGATAATAAAAATACATTTATAAAAGCAGTTTAGCCACATGGTAGTGGTACACAACATAGTACTCAAAAGTCCATGTTTCTATCTCTATACATAGATCATGTATTTATAAATAGAAATAGGCAAACTTTTCTGAACAGTATATCATTGTCAGCAAGAACCGATAATGATTTTAAAAGGTGGAAGTCCTTAGTGATATTAGTGCAAGTCAAGTGCATTAACTGAAAAATCAATGTCAAATTAAGTGTTCAAAAAGAGACATTTCCAGATTGTTTTATATTTTAAAGTGACAATATCAACAAACTACCAAATACATTTAATATTAATGTTGTGATTACTGTAGGTCGTTACATTGTGGAAAGGGAAAGATTTCAATTCAAAAGTTTTGTTTGGGGTCTGGGAAAGGGTTGACACCTATAAGTCAAGAAGTAATAAAGATTTATCAAGACAACGTTTTTTTTAATTATATTTTTTAATAATATTGTTGCAAACTTAAACATTGGTATAAAATAAATCCAGACCTTATGTAGATCCTTTGGTGACAAATAAGCAAAATCTTACATATAAAAACAAATTGAAGGTAATGCATTTAACTGAGATACACTATTTGAGGTACGAATAGTTTCAATCTATATTTTGTTGTTTATGTACTGTACTCTCTTCATTAAAGTACACTAACATAGGAAATTATGTGAGTAGACCAGAGTTAACCTAGAAAAGGAATTAATGGAACACAAATAGATAGATAGCGTTAACTTCATTTAACTATAGACTGTATTTTCACATTACTCCGGAGCCTTAAAAAAGTAACAATAATACAATATGATAAGAAACTACAATTTGGTTTTAGCTGCTTCAAGAAAACTAAATAAGTTAAATATGATTACATATACAGTAATAAAACATATAAATATGTATTGTGAGTACATTAGCATGTATGTTATGAAACTATAAAATATATAAATCTAAAAACAAATTTAATAGAAAAACAAACTACTTCCTACAACCAGTAGGTGTCACTCTATACACAGTCAAAAGTAATACAAATAAGGTTCTTCCCTGGCAAGGAATATGCTAGATCTACTTGTGGCAGACAGTGTTTAGTGTTTAGTGAAAGTGAGCATGATGCATCATCTATTGTAAGTAAAGATCTTTCCTTAAAGTATAATTTAGATCGATGTGGTAGTTTGCTCCAGGATTCCTTGAGTTATGTTCAAAGATGGCGCCATTCACCTCGGTATGAACATCAACCAGATGTGTTTTCCTATCAAAACAAAAACACATGTTGAGTCTATTATATGAAACCTATCTGAGCAGCAGCTGAATTTATTGTTAAGTGTTTTACCTGCTTTGAGCTTTGTGTAAGGCGTCTGTCAGAGCCTTCAGGTAAATGGAGCGATGTTGTCCTTGCTCCAGTTCAGACTCGTCCGTCCAGCAGTGACTCCAGAACACATCTGCACCTGTCGGGATGATTTCACATCTGGCTGGCCGATCATGCCCATCCGTCTCCAGATCCTCATCTCGGTGCTGCATCCTGACAAGTGGCACAAACTCTGGGACGCTGTACCTCTGGATGAAGAACAGTTTGGGCTTGCCAGCCAGCATGGGACACGAATCAGCAGTGAAAAGACATCTGACACTCTCCAGAAGTAGACCTGTGCCGTATGTGTCTGTACCCATGAGATTTTTCGAAGTACCACGGCTGATGATGCAGCACACAAAGCCATCGCCTTCGAAGTTCGGTCTGAGTATCCCTCTGAGAGCAGTAAGCGTGTCAGCCACACTCAGCCATTTGTAGAGGGTCACTTTGAAGTGAAGAGCCCTAAATGTCTGTTCCAACATATCTGGAAAGGTGAAAGCAGAATTTAACTTTAACCTAATAATAAGTCACTGAAAAGATCAATGAAATAATGCCATTAGAATCGATGATATTTTAACAGAAGATATTCAGTTTACTATTGCATGAGACGACACTCAAACCTCTCACATGGCTTAATTTAATTATTTTGTATACCAATAACTAAGCAGACAGAGATACAGTAAAAGTATCAAATATCTCATTAAAAAAATACAGACAAAAAGTCAAAACTAAAAACAAATGTGTGTAGCAAAACAGTTGATCTTCTTTCCTCTCCCATTAATCATTGCATGACCCCTTAGCTTTATCATGTGGGGCTTTTGGAAGGGGCCACTGGACTGAACACTAGCTCCACCTCAACCAGCTACAGCATTTTAATGCTGCTTACATGCTCTTAATGTATTTATTTTTTGTAAAGCACTTTGAATTGCCTTGTGTTGAAAGGTGCTATATAAATAAACTTGCCTTGGCTTGCCTTACTTTGACACTTTCGGTACATTTAGGTGGCGCTACTTTGGTAGCTTTACTCAAGTAGGATTTTAAGGCCTTTCACTTAATCAAGTGTTTAAAAAAATGATAGTGCCACCTGTACTTAAGTAATGGATCTGAATATTTATTCCAGCACTAGACTGCAGGTATAAAGGTTTTTGTTTCTCACCTCCGTCATTACCCACGCAGTCTATGATAACACAAAGTCCTCTGGGATTTGTGTTGAATTTGTACAAATCTAGATGACTCTAGAATGCAAAGGAGCAAGCAAACATGTTTTACAAATGCACTTTGCTAATTAAACACATATAGGGGAAAACTGCATCAATAGTGAGGAAATATCTTACCTGGCTGTTCTGCTCTCTGTATATGGGCACTGGTATGCTTCCTGAGCCTGATGACAAAGAGTAATATGGTGTTTTTAATATCAAAGTGAAATATGATGAGCGACCTGGGGCTTTCCAGTTGCTTCTACTGTGATTAGAGCCCCACTTGTGTGTTCCATAGCTTTAAAATGGGTATTTTTCGCTTATTGTATCTCTGGTAAAAACATTTATTTGGAAGTTGCTCTGATTGCTAACATCATGCATGTCTTACCAACGTGGAGGGGCTCTCGTGGTCTTGTTTGCTGCACAGAACTAATTGGAGCAGGGAATCGATACTGAAGAGAAAAAAAATCCAAAATATTTGTTTTATAAAAGATACAAATGTGAATGTTGAATAACTTTTGTACACTACTTACAGGTGCTCTGGGCCTTTGCTGTGGCTGCTGGTAGGAGTTTTCCTCAGTTGTCACAACTGCGAAAAGGGAACATGGATTGAAATACAAGTGAATACAGTCATAAAGTTTAACGTTCTCCTTCGATAGGAATCTACTGTTAAATTAAAACGTATGACATGGGGTTTGTTTGACAGAGTGTAGTACTGAAAATGATTTAAAATTCAATCTGTCTAAAAGAAAAGGGATCTGGGTACGTCTGTGAACTTGTTGTAATGCTGGTGTTAATTAATGAGCTAGGCTATGTCAGTTATGAGAGTTCAATGAAACAGAAACTAAATGCACTTTATTTTATACTATACATTATATCACAATCTTGGGGTAAAGGTTGCTTTTTGTTGGAACATGATGAAATACAATTCTGTATTCGCGGCAGTTACGCTGAAAAAAAAGGAATAGGTTAAATAGGCTTCACGTTTCTGTTATGTTTCTGTGCAACACGTCTGTTTTACTTCCTTTTTTTGTGGTTAATTGAAGTGTACTTTAAGAATAGTTCCTTTTCCATTGATATATGCGTCATGGACCATTTCAGTGGTACCAGATACACCCACACAAAACATTCATTTTAATTTCCCATTTCATGAAAAGTCAGACAGTAAGATAGTCACCTGACATCTTGTATGCAGACACTTTTTTGGCAAGGTCGACCCTGCCAATGTCTCTTAAACATTTCTCTACAGAGTCAACTCTTTCTGGTGAAACTATATCCAGCTTCTCAAGTTCAATGATCACGTCCAGGAAATTCTGTCTCAGAAGGGAGATAGAAGAGAAAGTTAAAACTCCTTTGGTATGCAGCTGATGTTTTTGGGTCAATTGAAAGCACACCAAACTCCCCTCTTCCACCCACACAAATGGGAAATTCAGAAACTGAAAACAAAAAAAGGTTGCTTAATTTTTTTTACCGTTGCTTTTTCCATGTTCTCACGTGGTATCGTGCTGCTTAACAAGAATTTCACATTGGACAGATCTTCAGCGGCCATGTCCTCATTAATAGTAGCCATCAATACTCTGCAGTAAAGGAAACCATGATTACTTTAGGTAGCACACCTTGGGTTATCAGAATCAGAATACCTTCGTACCACAGAGGGGAAATGTACATGTGTTACATCAAGTAAAGATATAAGATGGAACTGTATTTATCCCTGTGGGGAGATGCAGGTGTTTATAGCAGCAACAGGGTCAGAGTGAAAAATAGGGTTCACACCAGGTTAAACATAGAAATAAAATAGAATACAATTTAAAATAATTATACAAAAAATAAAGTGAGATATTCAAAAGAGCCAAAGATAGCTTAATACAGTATTAATTAAGAAGCATCCATACACATTGGATTGTTAAAATATGTAAGACCTCATATGCTTACAACACATCTTACCTGAATTTTGGCAGGACCTGCACATGTTTCAAAGACACCTCCACCTCCTCCCTGCTGGTTTTATACACATTTTTCAGGATATCAAAACGTCTCAATTGCGACATCAGCGCCAGGACCAACAGGAATCCCCTCTCATTGGACATCACTTTAGATTTCAGCATCTCCTTCATACAAGCCACACTATTGTCCGTGTCCAGGACATCACACAGGTAAAACAGCCTCCTACGCTCAGAGCTGCTGAGCGCCTCCGCTGTCTGGTTAATAGCCTGAAGCTGAATATGGTCCGAGAAAGCCATGAACTGTGCTAAAAGAAAAATTACAGCTAGTGACACACTGCTCAACAGATAGCGAGTTGCCAACCGAGCGAGTTGTTGTAATTAAATATAACAACGGAAGTGATAATTGAAACAACCTACCTTACTGCGTGCAATGGCAACGAGAAATAAACTAAAGTAAGAAGTACACTATTACGCGTGTGATTTCGCAAAGGACATATGACGCACTACTAAAGTATCACTTCTGGGAAAGTACCTATATTCTGTGTAGGCTGAACACAAATTCCTTGAATCGTGAACGCCGAGTTACTAAAAATATCGATTGCACTGCATTCTTGATCACACAAAAAAATAAGTTTGCCAAAAATACTTGTGCTAATTCTTTATAAAACTGCACAAAAGATTAAGAGATCCGAGGTGAAAGTGAAAGCAAAAAAGGCAGCAGCGCTTTGATAGTAGCCTACAACAGAAACTTAAAGGCACAAGCAGTCGACCAAAATCCAGTTAAAGTCAATGTGTTGAGACCGTTTTAGCCTTAACCAATCACAATGGCCTTTGTAATCAAATTATGTTCATTAGTTGCAGGAGATGGGAACATGAGTGATTGAAAATGCGCAATATTATGTAAATTAAGATTACTAGGACCTTTGTTTCCTTCACATCAGTTGTTCAATATTGTCTTTTATTTTGAATGTGGCCTATATTTTTGGTTCCATTAATCTGCATTAGAGATATATTGTACTGAATCCAATTCACACAGGCGGAAAATATGCAGTAAAATCGGTTTGTCGGTCTTCAGTAGGTTAATGCAAAAGTGCGCTCAAACCATATCTTGGGTTTTCCGACAGCTTTGAATGCATCACGTCTGCTCCCCCTGCAGGTTGCTGAGCTTTCTGCTTACCAAGTTCCGCTCATTCTGGCCAATCGTGTGGCGCGGTGCTTCAGCACCATTGCAGTGTGGAGAGATCATACGGAGTTGTAGCTCGCAGAGAGAGGTAACATTTGGAGGAAAGATACTCGACCTGGGTGACCGCTCTGGGAAAACACCAACCCTACTTCCCCGATACAGTCACCGCGTGACATTGCCATTAGCAGCTTCAGTACGGGTGAGTGTTTATTAGCCTGATATCTGGTTAAAGGTTCAGTATTTTCCAGGTAGTCGCAGTGTAGGGGCTGCTGGTGACTTGGAACAGCATCTGCTCTGTTGGTGTGGATGTATGGTAAACCGAGGGGACTGCAGCGCTAGCGGGCTGCACGGTTCCGACAAGTGTCACCTGTGTTTAGCTAGGAACCACGGAGCGGATACTTTAGTATTGGAGCCAGCAGTCTGCTGTTTCGGCCTGGTCACGACTGGTGAAAATGAGGATGGGGATGTCCACCAGCTGCTGACTCGAGCAGGCACGCTAGCGGCATGCCATCCGTGCTAAGGTAGCTAGCGTTGACGTGCAGGTTCAGGCTGTCGTGGCAGTGTTGTAACGGACGCTAGCTAGGTAGCCGTTTACTTCAGAGCTAACGGCTCTGTAGAAACAACCAGAACACATTAGCTAGCTACAATGTCAAAACAGCAGGTACAATACCACTGCCCTTTTTGTTCTGAAAATGTATACACACATCTCCACGGTTGTTCTTGAAGTTTAACTCAAACTAGAAGCAGCTTGTTTACTCAAAAATAGTTTTATTTTGAAATTAGAGACGGAAGTCTTACATTTTCACCCTTGAAATTGTATGGACAACTTTTTCTTTGATAAAAGCAACTGTTACTTTCTTCTAGTGCATTTCATATGGAGTAATTTAACGGTTAATAGTTGTGTTAAGAGGAGTTGGTGCACAGTAAATGACAGTCATAATGTGAGGAGCTTAAGTCTGCGAATAACCTTTTATATCAGCCAGCAACCCCGAGTGTAGTAACTTGTATGCAAGTCATTTCCCCATCATTATGCATGTGGGTTTGCATCAGCCCCGTGTGATTAAAATGACCAACACATGCCTATTGAATTGGCCAAGTCATGTCACAGTAAATAAAGGACAGAGTGCAGGGGCAGTTCAGGAGCATCAGAACAGGAGTTTGAAGGTGCTTAAACTTCCCTCCCAGAAACATGTAACCTGGGTAACTACGTATACAGCACTTGTCTGAAGACAGGGTGTGTAAACTCTGCTTGTACAGAATTGTGTTTTATATCAGCCCACTAAAGCTAAAAGTTAGCAGCAACCAACAATCCTCTCAACATCACTTATTCATTCCTCTCTGCTCCACTAAGCCACTTTTATTTCTGCCAAGTGCTTTCCTTGTTGATCTCTCACTGTTGGCACACTGCTGTTTTCACATTAAATGAATAGCTTAGGTTAGGAGTGATATGGGTCATCAAAAGTAAAAACCCTCAAACAATTGCATCATCATGGACAAGGATGCAGAACTGAAGATCCAGTACATTCCATGCCATCTGCAGCTCCCCCTCATTCATCATCATCATCATCCTCTCTACTCCCTCTTTGCTCTACCTTTGCCACCATGTGTGTTTTGGGACTAGGCTAGCATCAGAGCTGTGACCTATTTAAGACAGAAACTCCATGTACCCACTTAATCTGTGTCTCCATCTCCAGGAGATGAGTTCCGTCTGTTGCTCACTGTAACAAACTGTAAATTATTCACTCGTATTGTGGAGTGTGTTTAATCACTCATCGAGCTGTACACCGTAGTTACGGAGTCATGTGCTTTTTACTACGTGTCTTACAGTTGCCGAGGGGTTTGAAAGGGGATTCACTAGAAGCTGAGAATAACTCTTCAAGTGAAGTTGACGAATAATGCACAATATTGTCTAAAGTGCCCACATGTCTCCCGCGGCTCTTAATGAAAACAGTTGTGACCGTAAGTGTATTGAGCCTCAGAATGTGTCGCCTCCCTCCCACCTATTGCGATGCACACGCCTAGGGGATCAAAGCTGTAATTAGCCTGCCATGGATTAGCAATGGGGATTATTTTCCACTGTACATGCTCCCACAGAGCCAGAGGATCAGAGGACCTTTTCTTCCTGCAGAGAAAATCTGTCAAGTTTGTTGATGTCCCCCCGGAGGCCAAGAAAACCTGAAACCTTCTGCCTTCTGAGAGCTTGGACATCGGGCATTTCTTAAAAAGTGATTGTGGTATTTTCCTTTTGTTTGTTGTCATTCAGCATCCATGGGTTCTTAATACACATCAGTCAGTCCGCAGTGAAGTCATTCCAGTTGTGTTGCGGGCAGACAGTGTTGAGAATCAGCTGGATATCTCGGTGTGCAGACAGTGCGGTGGGGCTGCTGACTCACTGCACTGCCAGGTATGAGGTCTGTCTGTGTGTCGGCTGTCTCCATGATGTACAGTGTGTGTCCCCCCCTCGGCTCCCCCCTGCTCAGAGACGCCTCTCTGTCAGCCAAATATGAGTTCATACTGTTCCTCTGGGGCTCAAAAGAGGAGGAGCAGCATAATGTGTGTACTCTCTTGTTTGTAAATGAATCAATGCTTTCAAAACTGATTGCAACAAGGTTTGGGTATCATAGGTTATATTGCCCAAGCTAAGGAAGGGATTACCTGGGGGACAGTCTGCAAACATACTATGCACATCAGGAGGCCTGCAATGAACAATATTTAAATATCAATCTAAACTACAGGGTTATTTTCTCAATTATTGGATTATAAAGTAGAAATAGTGAAAAATACTTACAATTGTATTAGTTTAGTACATTAAGCGGATGACTTGATAAACTCTGTTTTCATTCTCTGACAGAAAAAGAACTAAACCCTCACATAAATACAGCTTTAGCCTGTTGTGCTGTATGTGTGTGAATGTTTTTGATAGGTTAAGATCAACTGTATTATCTTTATGTGGAAATGGCTGGTTCCCATTGAAGTGGTAAAAGGCTTTCACATTGTTCTGTTTTACATTATGACCGGTGGATTTATGACCTTCCGTTTAATGTATCGATGAATACAATGCTGTTCTAGCAAATCAAGTGGTCAACCTTTAATCCACCATTCTGTATTGGACAAAGCAAATATTTCACTTTGTAAACGAAGATTTTCACCAAATCTGTCAGATAATAAACTCACAGAGAAAGATAGCAATTAAGTTACACTCTTCTATTTTGAAAATGATTACATTGATTTTCTGTATGGATAAGCACAGAAAGTCTCCCAGCTATGGACGATCAACCAGACATCACGTTTTTGTTATCAGTTTCAAAAGAGAAAACAACATTTACGTTCTTATTCATCTCCTGCTGTTTGGGTTTCTTGACGAGACAGTTGCCTAATACCTGCAGACAGCTGGCTGGTTGGCATTCGCTCTCCGACAGACACAGATGGAATGAGGCAGAATCTGAACACCAGATTATACTTTGTCAACAAACACAAATAGATAGCTCAGATCAGTCGACACAAGTTTCTCTTTTTTTCAAAATGTGGTAGATGATCATTAAAACACTTCTGGACAGCCAAAACCAGCTGGCCTCCTGGAGTCAACCTTTTGACAGGTACATATAGAATAGCTATTCTTGTCAGAGTTGATGGGATTGTTTTGACGGCTGATGTTGCAGACTGTCAGTAACCTTTATAATAAGTCACGATTTCTAACCAGCAGGACCGAACCCGAAGTATTTCCTTTACAGTGATAGAAAGCAGCGAATCCTTACATGAGAAGCTACTGTATAGCCGGTGAATGTTTGACATTTTTGGCTGATGTTGGACAAACCCAGCTGCTTTGTAGACTGCTCAGATGAACAAGAACAACAATACTCTTACTTGTTTGCCAAATGAATAAAAAGACGGTTTGATTTTGTTTCTTTGGAAGCCTCTTGCTGTGGCACAGTGATATTATATTCTATTTTAACAATGACTTTTACAAAGAATAAGCCAACAATCTTAAAGTCACTTTGTTTAGACTTATCCCAACCTACAGTTACAACTGCCTGGCACAGAGTACAATATGCTAATAGCAGCTTATACTGAAAGGAAAAGACATATCATGCTGTTGACCTGAAACACAATTTCTCATGAAACCAAAAGGCCCCTGAACTTTCCCCCGGTTGTACTGGATGTCAGTGGGGAAACCCAAGCTGTGCATCAGTTACTTATAGCAACATGGACAGTTTGTTTTAGCCAAGATTACATGGCACGAGCGCCTCAGAGCTGCTGTTTTCTGCTGGGCTCGGCCTTCCCTTCGATCGGCTCTCTGCTCTCCCGCTCAGCTTGCCGGTCACGACTCGGCGCCTGTCTGAAGTTGAACAGATGCCAAAGCCCGGTTGACTCAGGGAGCCTTTGAATTATTGCCAGTTATTTGTTGTTGTGATATGATGGGAAAGACGTTGAAGGAAAGTGGGCGCTTTTGCTGGATCAAGCTGTGAGATATGTTTACGGGAGAATGAGGCACCTGTTAGCAAAAGTATTCCCTTACACTTTTTGAGGCCAAGCTGCTAATGCTGCCAGTCTGCTGAGGTTTGATCAGTATGAATGGGGGAAGGATTTCCACTGATTAAATATTGACAGTTAATACTCAGAAAAAGGAACATTTTGCTTTCTACATTTTTGAAGTGTCTAGGTCCTCAAAATACTTGGCCAGTACAATTCTGGCATGGGCTTGATGGCTTATGCTTATTAACTTGGCAAATCTGTCATTGTTCTGCTTGTGAAATGAATTTTGCGACCGCTGCAGTGGACTTGATGGTGCCAAATTGTATCCCTCATTATTGTTTTTCACAGTGTAGGAAACAATTAGATTTAACAATCATTATGAGTCTCTAGGTTGTGAAGAAATTGAAAGGCCAAGCTCTCTGGCTTCATTGTCCATATGTTCAGCTGTTTTTCAGCCCCCCACCCTAGCATCTGAGGTGGTAGTGTAATGCACCCTCTCTCTTCCCCCCCCCTCCTCATTGATTCTTTGGTCATGCAGGCTGTGGTCTCAGGCCGGTGGGCCGTTCAGTGGTCTTGGCATGTCACAAAGGCTCAAGGTGGCCTATTGTTAAAGGACTGCCGAGCTGCTTATTTGGCAGTAAAGCATTTTCCTATGTTTCTCTGGAGTAAAGCTAAACACTCGGCTGCTCCCCCGCACACCACGCACCATGTCAGCACTCAGCAGGCGTGCTAAATACTGTGGAATTAGTGGTCATGTGTCTGCAGTTTGAACTGTCAGTGACCTTGCCCAGGCTTTCATAAAAGGCAACCCCCATTTACCTAATAGCTGTTGTTTTGTTTAATATGTAAACCTGAACAAACCAATGCAAAGCAGTCCCATGGCTCTGCTATAAGTCCCAGTTGTAAAACTTGTGATGTTAAGTTGACACATTGAGACAAATGTTTGTTAATCACTATGGAATACTTTGAGGAGCAAGTGTTCTGCTAAATTCGAAAATCATAATAACGATAAGGTGTGTCTCATGTTTACTCCTTCTTATATACATAAAGGCCCAGACACACCAAGCTGACACCAAATAACACGTCCCGACGGAACACGACTGTTGTGTCGCCTCACGTCTCCTGCATCTTGGCCAACAGTCGCACTGAAACACACCGCAAAGACTTCAGCCGACGGCCAAGTAGCACGTACGAACAGCGCATGCGTGAGTGGCAATAACTCTCCATACATTACGTTACATAGCACCTGTACTACGTAATGACAAGAAGTTGAATCTTCTATCTTCCATACCAGCAGGTGGCGGTAGTGTGTATTCGCCATTCAAAAGAGGCAACCGGAAGACAGACTGCGTAATATATACAAACAACAAATAGCGTTCCATTTTCCCTCTCGTCCATCTAAAACATGTTTAGTGCGGGCAGATAGATCAAAATGAAAGATAATAGCCGTCTGTGTGTGCCTTCTTAATCGTTTGTTTGCGTACCTCGCTTCTCATGCACTGATTCGCTAAGCTAAACAGCCAATCAGAGTGATTTATTTTGCCGACAGCCTTTTGCCGACAGCTCCCCCGATTCAACTTGTTGCGGAAGGTGTCGGCACGGCCGAAAAGAGACAACGGTGCGGGACACATCAATCTGAGTAGGGCGACAGGACGCTCATCGACGGCCAGACATCTATCGACAATTATTGGTAAATGTTTTGTATTGTACATCAGAAATCCAAAACAACTCAACTTTATACTACCAATACTACACCAACAATAGAATGGTGTTGTTATTTATTTTGTAAAAAAAGCCAAGACACTACAGCCACAGCACTTGCATTTCATCCAGAATGCTTGCTATTATGTTACTTGTCTGAAGATAATAGGGCGTTGTACACAAAACCCATTGTATGCCAAACTTGATAACATCACAAACTAAATGCTTGAGATACAGAACATGCCAGTGGCTTTTATAAGTCGAGTGAGGTTGGTGGAGGACATGTGTTTATCCTGTATGTGGGACACATTTGCATTGGAAGCATTTGTATGCCTCGGTGTGAGGAGCAGAGAGGAAGGAGGCAGGATGCTTTTGGCATTCACCTGTGCTGTTGTGTGTTGTGGCTCACCCTGTATAATCAGTGTAACTCTGTGTGTGTTTGTGTTTGTGTGTTTGCACGCTCAGTTTCAACACAGGCCCATCCCAACACGTCTGGCCCTGCAGCTGCAGCAGAGCTAATTTTAGCCCCGGATGTGCGTACGCCTCAGTTCCCCTCGCCTGGCCTATGAGAGATGAAGATTGGATGGGGGGGGGGAAAACGTTGCAAATCTTTCACTCTCCTCTATTCTTAGCACCCATCCCTTTCTTTCTGTCTGATTACCTGTAGTGTGTATTTTCCATGAATGTCCACGTGTCCTAGGGGCAGAACTATTGATTTGCACAGGATCACATAGACTGAATTCACTGTCACCTGCAGGTTTGTGACCTTTGCTCACCAAAAAACATTTCTGTTTGATGGCATCTGACCATGGTGTGTACCTTTGTCAGCCTCACTATCTTTAAAACTTTCTACGGTCATTGCTCTGTATAGAAAACTAGGCAATAGCAGTCATTTTCCAGTGCTTTATTTGCTATTAATAAACCCAATTCTATTCCTGTGCAGACAGCCAGCTCCTCTGTGAGTGGCTCGTCCTTGTTACGAAAGAGAGGCACGGGATGGAGATAACAGCCGACCAGTTCACTGTGGGCAGGTATTAGCTGTTAATCCCTCTACCTAGGGGAAAGTGCCTGGATAAAGTGTGTGTCGTAGACTTGTGTGTTTCATGAGTAATGGCCACCTGCAAACACACACGCACCACAGAGGATGACTAAAATTACCTTGTGACCGTGTCAAACCAAATGTGTAATTCTTGGTCAGAGAGGAACAAAAATAACACATGCATATCTGTGTTTTTGTGCTTAGTTTTGCATTTGGGTGGAAATCAGCAGACTGAAACAAAACTCCCAGTGGTCATGAACGTGCCCCAGATTCTTGTTAACCTTACTTTTAAGTTTCTGTAGACTAGGGCTGAACTTCCTGTGTGTCAGTCATCCACACCAATCAGAAGTGCTGTGCTCCACATCTACCAATCATTGTTAACCAATCAGAAGTGGCCCATGATAGTAGGTGATAGACAGATTGATCCAATCACAGTATTTTTGAAATACTTTTCCAAATGGCTTCCAATGGAGCTTTCCTAGATGGTCTGGTGACACAAACCATCTGAGTCAGGTTAGTAATGCTCCATCACATGTTTTACATCTATTACAGGGTGAATCTTAAACTGAAGCTTGACTTTAAAGCAACCCAACGGAAGTTTCATGTAAGTTTAGTTCTTTCACTCGTAGCTCGGGCTGCGGGAGCACGTTGATACGACCTTCCTAGCCAGAGATATGGCCGCATTTTATAATAAACTTCCGTTGGGTCGATTAAAAACAAATATCGCGAATCGCAATATCTGTCAGAAAAATCGCAATTAGATTATTTCCCCTAATAGTGCAGCCCCACTGTAGACTCACCTTGGTTTTACTATTTCTCTAATCTAATGTTTGATTGGAGCAGCTAAATGGCCCTAATTTAGGAAAGTATGATATATTGAAATCTCACAATAAGTGTGAAGGCTGTATTAAAACCGCACGTTGATATATTTTAGCAAGAAACACAAGCCCTGTAATGGCATGCGTCTTTGCTGCTTAGGTGTCTTTGGGCAAGACACTGAACACATCCTGGCCTTTGTTTGACCCTGTGATCCCACCTTAGTGGATAAACGCAGAAACCGTTGACCTACAAAGATAGATACATTGTCATACCATCATTGTTGGATATTTAGTTTGTCATGGTCACAGCAAACACAGTTGAAGGAATAAGGACAGTGTCCGAACAGAACGGGCACAGAGTTTGCTTAAGCTCAATAATTCATGGCTGACTGAGCTCAACTGTCCTTGAAAAATCCCCAGAGTTGGTCGGTTGAAACCAGGCACTGCTCATTTTGGGCAGAGAGGAGAAGTTGAGACAGACACTTACAAACCCATGATACAAAATATTTGGAGTCTCCCTGTTTGGTTTTTAAGGAAGGTCAAAAGACACAACATTTGAAGTTCCATTTATTGTTTTTAGTGTTTTTATAGTGTCTTGTTGTTTTTATATTGTCTTGTTGTTGCGTGTTGGCACCTTGAGTTTATTGTAATTTCGTTGTACCTGTACAATGACAAAATTAAAGATCTATCTATCTATTTTCATTATCATTATCACATGGAACACACACTTTGGATTACATTGCTGTCGTTTGATTTAGGTTGGTTTAGTTTTTCTTCATCTTGTGGTTTGAATCCACATCAGAGAAACATATGATCACTTGTTGTGTGACAGTAAAGAAAGGAAAGCAGGCCTCAAGGAGACTTCTTTGTTTGGAAACCTATACAAAAATATCTTTCTACAGCAACCAGTGTTTTAACCTATGCTGTTCTATGGCCATAAAGAAATTGATTTCGATTTTGACTAGAGGCCAGACTGATTTTCCTATTCCTTTGTTTACCATGTGTTGTTTCTGCACCTGGTACTGTCCAAACATTATAAAAAGCAAGTAAAGAGAATGAGCACCGGCCCTTCATGCTTTTCAGAAGTAACACAGTGACTGAAATCATATTGTTCCCTTATTTCCCTTCAGCCAAAATCTCTCGCTAACTGTATGGCACATTAGTTCAATTCAGTTTGACTAGTTAACTTATAAATAATTGTGAGTGGATATCAGTTTTTATCACAAGTGGTTGATTTGATAATTAAACAGACAACACATGAAAATGCAAAGCTTATTCAGCTGTGCGGCTGCAGAGAAAAGCTAGTCGCGATCACACCTCTTGGTTGGATGTCTGCAGCACACAGACACTGTATTTGGCACGTTTAGGACATTTCTTTACGTCATGCTAAAAAATATCGCACCCAGTAATCACACCCGCTGACTAATGCTACTGCAGCATTTGCTATTATATTAATATTTATGATGAAACAACACATTAATTTTTTCTTGCAGATGTACCCAAATGTGCCCCTCTCTGATGAATTCACACTCACTTGCAGACTCATGTTTGAAACTGAGGTGTGGTTAAAGTTGTTGACTTTGTGGGAAAAGAAACGTTTCCTCTTGTTGAATAAATGTTAATTGTGTCAGATCATTTAGTCGTTTTTAAAGAGGTTCTTTTCGACACCATTAAAATGAGCGATGACAGAGAAAATAGGAAATCGTGTCCCGAAAAACGAATACAAACTCAGTGATCATTATTTTATTTACTTTAAGCAGAATCTACATTAGTGTGTTAATCATCCATGGCTGTCTCTTCCCTCTGTCTTCAGGGCGGCAGTTTTTAGGAGTGGTTTTCTGTACTTTGCTGGACTGTAACCTTGTGCATGTTTACATTGGTTTAATGAGTCACTTAGTCCCGGTTACTCGTATGATTCATCCGCCTGTAGTGAATGATGAGCATTGTTAGGCGTTTGAGGGAGACCTCCATTCAGTACTTGAAATAAGGCTCCAGTCACTTATTAAGGGAGGGCTTGTGGGCTAAGGCTGCATGGTTTATGTTGTGCATTGTTGCTAATGGGATCTTTTATCGACATGCTTAACAGTTGTGCTTGATCCTGCCATCCTGAATGCTGTAGCTGTTGTTAGTCTTGTGTCCTGGCTCTGGCACAGAAGAGGACTGGGTAAAGTCACGGGAAACACACAACAGTCCTGCTCAAACCAGCTTTGACTTGAATGATTGAATAAAGGGATTTTTCATTTACCAGTTTAGCTAACGACTCGAGTCCCTTTTGAGTCATGAGACAGCTGAGGGTCCAGACTCCAGTATGTAAAAGTGAGCATTGTTTTGCCCTTTCCCTATAAGGACAGTTAGAACAACATGTAGCACTGTATAGCATTACATAACTGATGCAATGCATAGATTGGCCAGTGACAGTAATCGGCCAATTTTCAGCTTGGTGGACCATGACCAACAATCCAAACAGTCTAAGAAATAGCTGATTCTGTGCCAGTAAAATCTGAGAATAATTGCAGTCGTTGCATCTGTAGTGGGTGTCACATTTTTGATTTTAGATACGCTAGCGGTTTGGCTGTTTGTTGGACAGCCTGATGGTCGGTCTACTATGGTCCATTCTGAAACATCTTTATTGATTGAACTATTTGATTGATTTCCATGAACAGAAATCTGTTATGAATTTTAATGACGGTGCTTAGGGCTGCACGATTTGGGGAAATAATCTAATTGCGATTTTTCTGACAGATATTGCGATTCAATTTGCGATATTTGTTTTTAAGCGACCCAACGGAAGTTTATTGTAAAATGCGGCCATATCTCTGGCTAGGAAGGTCGTATCAACGTGCTCCCGTCTTTAGCACCCCCGCAGCCCGAGCTACGAGTGAAAGAACTAAACTTACATGAAACTTCTGTTGGGTTGCTTTAAAGTCAAGCTTCAGTTTAAGATTCACCCTGTAATAGATGTAAAACATGTGATGGAGCATTACTAACCTGACTCAGATGGTTTGTGTCACCAGACCATCTAGGAGAGCTCCATTGGAAGCCATTTGGAAAAGTATTTCAAAATTACTTGGATTGGATCAATCTGTCTATCACCTACTATCATGGGCCACTTCTGATTGGTTAACAATGATTGGTACATGTGGAGCACAGCACTTCTGATTGGTGTGGATGACTGACACACAGGAAGAACAAAAAAGAAAAGATAATTGCATCATTTAAAATCTCGATTTCGATTTAAAATCGATTAATCGTTTAGCCCTAACAGTGCTACCTACCAATCCTTAGCGCCTCTGAGGTTGTCATGTTTGGGTTTTTTGTACAAATTCGATGTTAAATTCAATTTTGATGTCTATATTTCTTGGTGCTCGGAACGTGAATTCCCAATGGCTTTGGTAATCCCCAAGCCTTTCCCCTAATGCCACGATCATGTCCCTTATTCAGTGAAATATCAATCTACTACATGGGTCGACACACTGGTATATATTCATCCATCTAACTGCAAATTCACATTGGAACATATCGTGTAAACTGCTCTGTGTGGAAACTAAATACAAAGTAACTTATTGGCTTTGTTTCAACCTTGTGCGCTGTTAAGCAGGGTGTTTAGCAATGTCATTGTGATTTGGGGTTTGAAGTGTTGTAAACAGGATGGGTTTGCACTCTTCCATTGTGAGCCCCACCACAGGACAATAAGCAGGTCCTGCAGAGGAAGAACGACTCCTAGAAGGAACATTCGCCAAGCCTCATTACTTGTATGACGTATTTAGCAAACAGTGACGGTTGGCTGGGGAGAACTGTTGTTGCTGGAAACGCAAAAAACTGGGTGAAATATAGAAATGAATGAAACCGTGTAGTCCCAGAGTTCAGTTCCAGATCATTATGGGATGTTTTAACCAAAGGGGAGGACAGCATTTTAATTATTCCTTTTACTCTGTCTTAGCTAGGTTACTGTGTCCTGTTCTTCTTATAGCAGTTGTATTCATACTGAGGCGCTTGGGTTGCATCTATGGTGAGAAAAACTCTATGGCAGAAACGCATGTTCTTTCTTACAATGCAATCATTTTATACAATTCATCAAATTCCTTTCCGTCTAAGAAATGCTGTCGGACTTCTATAACCTTACAACTGTTTGAGTTAGTGTTGTCGTTCTCCATTTGATCATCTATCCAGTTATAAGCTATTTGTTATATTAAATATCCATATTTTGTGATACTGTACATTAATGCATTTTCTGGTAAATAAATGGAGGATTGTGATTGAATACAATAACCAATTGTATTTTCTGTTTCGGACAAATGTAGCAAGTGAAATGCCTGATAAATCAAAGTGATATATATATTATGAGTTATATGATGCTCTAATGACATGAAGATTCACTATCGCCATGAAACAGCTCCTCTTATTGATTTGCAACGTCGGCCACAATGGCCTAATAAACCCAGAGATGGTCTATACGGGTTGAGATGGTGTCAACATAAACCGTATGTACAAAGCTGCAAGCCTTTAAGTCTAAGAGATTTACAGCTCAAATTAGGTTGATTACATTTATTTGGTCATTTTGGTAGTTTATTGTCCTAAAGAACTCAAAATATATTCCCGCCAAGCATTTAACTAGAATATGTTGTCATCAAATATGAGATATGTTTTGTTTGTGTTGTATTAGTCATCCCTCGTCCCCCCCCTTTGCTGTATTCACTCGACCTGGCGCCACTGTTACCCTTTGCTGTGATGAGTCATACAGAATGAGTACGCCTTATCTGGCAAAGGAAAATAAATACCTTCTTCATACACATCCAGACGGATGGGACTGCTGCATGGTCATTTCCTTTAGTCCTTGTGATTAATTGCTAATCTGAGAGTCCTTCAGATTAACACAAGGCTGAGCTGGAAGGGCTCAGCATCAGATGGAGAGCTCAGTGATGTGGCACCGGGAGGGAGAGCCGAGCCAGCTCTCTGCAGACTCTTCTTTTGGACCAGTACAGTAAATGATATGGGTGTGCATCATCATATGCATTTTTAGCTGTTGAAAACAACTTGGACAGCTGACTGTTGCTATGCAACAATAGGAAACTTGGGAATTCACTCCTCGTGCCTCTAAATAACCTTCGAAAAGCATTTGTTGAACAACTGAACCTGAATGCATAGTTCGGCTTCCTTGCTGATGCTCTTTAATGTTAAACTGCAGATTGTAGAGGAGGCTGGTGAAGTTGGAACACTCCCTGTTGTTTTCCAAAGTCTCTGTGTTTTTGCTGCTGTTGTGTTGGCTGATTCATTGTCATGTACGTTTGTAGAGTAATGCCAAGAGACTTTTCCTAAAGTCTTCTATCATGTTTGAATCCAGTCTAAGATACACTACAGAACAGAAGGATGCAAAAAACGAGTATTTACATTTTTTGATGAATATGCCATTTGATCTAGAAAGCTGTCAGAAATGTTCGTCACTATTTCCTGACGCTCGAGGTGATGTCATCAAGACTGCCTTGTTTTGTCAAACCAACAGTTATGATCCTGAAGATATCAAATGTTACTATAAGACAAGGGAAGGAATATTTAAAATGTTTGAATCCAAAAACGGTCAAAATGTTGTGTAACAAAGCTCTGAGTTCATTCTAATTATAGTTTGATGTGATTTTTGATCTAACCTGTGGTAGTTTGTTCATTAACGGAGGATTTATTCCTTGTGTTGCAGATGAGCGTCGGTGATTGACAGATGTGTGACGCTGTGGGGAACCATTTGCTTCTCCCAGTGGAGATCTGAGTTCTGGGACACTGAGGTGAGCGCCGCCTCTCAAACCGTTTCATGTTGTCATTAATTGATACTCGTGTTGATACTCATATCTTTTTCTGCCTTGATGACATACTAAATGATTCCTTTTTTAAATTCGTAGATCTTCACGTTATTTCAGTATTTATTGAAAGTCATTATCATTTATAAAGCATTGTACTCTTGAATATCCTTATATATCAATGTGACTTAAAATGCCAGAAACAAATTAGATTTGAATGTGAGCTGTTGTTGCTGATCTCATGGATGGGTGTTATCTATCTCTTAATCCTGCATATACTGATGTTTTTATTACGGTTAATCACGTGTTCTTTCCTCTTTTTTTACGTTGTACTGTTATGTGTTTTCTTTTTGCAATTAATCTAAAAAAAGCAACAATGTCAGAAAACAATTATCTTTAACAATTTTAGCCTAATGTTGCTATGGAAATATGAAGGATAACAACAAACATGTTTTTTTGGGGAAGAAATTAAACTTTCTAACATGTGAAATACTGAATTAAGTATTCAAATCCCCAATCAGTCAGTACAAAAATAAAATAATATAGTAAAATAAAACATGTATTCTTGCACGTTTAATGTTTTATATTCTCCGATTTGAATTGAAGGAATTCATCTTTGACATGACACTTGCAGTTTTATATACATGATGAGAATTACTGTATATATTACGTGAGGGACATTTCTTTTTGGTCAATATTTGCCATTGCCTGAAAGTCATTTTAATGCAGTTCCCATGGTAACTGATAAGCCTGCCCTGACGACGGAGAATTTCACTTCAGTGTGATTTTGACAGTTTGACAAGCCGGAGGAAAAGACTGAGTCAGTCTTTCATGAAGAGCTGAACCAGCTTACTAAATAGAGCCTTTAAATTCTCACACTCAGATTTAAAGCGAGTGCTCGCACAAAAGTATTTGACTCGTTCAGATCCTCATCTGCTCTGAGCGGCAAACGTGATCCGTCTCCTCCAGCCTCACAGCGAATCGGATAGTTGGCTCCTCGAAGCCTGTTTTGTAACATGTTCAGGCTTATCCGCACCACTCGGGGAGCACTGCAGTGCATCGTTTTATGTTGGATTTGCTTTAATTGTAACTTTAAATACTGGTTTGAAGCTGAAATGCCTTAAAACTGTTTCATGGTACCGTGGGTAGTCCATGTATAATTTTCTTCTGAATGAAGTAACTCAGGAATACTTTTTAAAATAGTTTAGTCTCTGCAAAACACTATGGAAATAAATCAATTGAGATTGAAATTGCTGCGTAGTGTGATATATAAGGCATCATGTCTAGCGAGCGGTTCATTATTGCGAAATGAATGCCAACAGGTTGAGTGAGAGTCCATTTTGGGAAAATTACGCTTCACATAATGCCGCTTATTTCATGGCGTCTTACCTAAGAAATCATTGATTTGACTTTTGCTTGAAAGTAATTGTAATCCTTCAAAATATTGATTTAAAAATGGTAGTCTATGGTAAGAACTGCATCCTTAGCAGCAATCTGAAATTCAGAATCTTGTATTCAACAAACCCCTTTAACAACATGTAATTACATGTGACATACATTTAACTAAATTGTGTCTGGAGCTCTAATCTTTTCAGTAAGTGAACACTTGTACTTTTCAGGCTTTGAATTTCAGCCGATGTTTATTCATTCACATCATCAGACTTTTTTTTGTCAGAAAATGACATTTGCATATCTTGTGTTGCAGTATAAAAACTGTCAGAAACGTAATGTAGATTCAAATGTCCTGGCCTGTGATGATTTGGGCGTACCAAATACAATTACACAAGGATGTGTCAACATTATGGTGTACTATGGGAGGGAGCCTTAGTACTGTGCACACAGTTTACACGGTTTATGACTTACTGTACAAAAAGGAACATTGTGTAATATCGTATACATCTAATTTCTGACAAAGTATTTGTATGAATATTCCTAAATTTGTGCACCACATTTTCTCCCCTTGAATCTGAAAATGTTCATAAATGTTCATTTTCTGGGGTCTGATTTTATTCAGTTATGTATGTGAAGTGAACCAAGGACAGTGACCCAGATTCAGCTGCAGTAAGTTTATTTACAACCTTCTGCTGTCACTTGTCACACACTGTGGGAGCACATTTGGTGTCAAAGGAGGAAATACAGGGCCGGGGGAGGAGCACATCTGTTGTCACATCTTAGATTATGATCTCTATTTAAAATAACAGTGTGAAGACATTTGCTTTTAGTTAATATCCTCATTTCAAAAACACTAACACAAATGGAATTGTCTAAAGCTTAAAACAAACTTTAAAAAAAGGTAAATGGGATCTTCCCTCTTTGAAATGAGAATATATTGAGTTAGTCCTAATCCTTAATCCCATCAACTCAAAACCACACCAACATTATGAGCCACACAGTCGCTTCTAGGAGCAAAGGCTGCAGCTCTGTTGCAGCAACTGTAACAGGTCTTCAAGCATTTCCTCAATCAGAAGAGTAGGTTAGGAATAGGATGCATGTTATGGGAACCGTAAGCTTGTGTTTGAGAAAGGCTCCTGTGTGACCAAGACACAGGTCACCACAGTGTTATTGCAGATAGCAGACTGTTGTTGCGCTTCTTAAAGGCTACACCAGCTAAACTATGGTAGCTGTGTCACAATCTAAAGTAAAGGTTGTCAAATAGTGTGAAATTATTTTGGCATTTATTTTAAGCTATACCCTAAAATGTAATAATCAAAGTGAATATATTTTCTATAGCATGAAGTCGGAAGAAAATATGGCTTTTTATTTTTGGCAGTTCTCAAAGTGCTGTCTGAACACCTAAGGAAATTCAGATGATGAGATCCCTAACTTTCTGTTTTAATTTCAGTAGACTTGTATTGAGTGTTTAAGGCTTTGTTTTCCAACACCTGTGCTAGTTAGATCAGAGTTAAGCTGCCCTTAAGGTTAACTTTCAGTTGCACATGATTTCATAACAATTCACTTGGGCTGAGGACCAAAAAAGTCTATCTTATCCACCTGGTTTTCGTGGTGCAGGGAAAGCCCGTCTGGATTGGCTCATGTTCAAAGCAGCTCTGATCAACAGTGACAGGAGAGGGCACCTAGGTGGCTCCTGATGTAACGGTGTGGTCAGCATCATGGCTTCCACCCAGAGGCATTCGTCATGTTGCATCCCATTTACAGCAACTAACATTACTAATGACCACTTACCCATAACCTTTAGATCAGTGGTTCCCAACCTTTTTTTCCCAAGAGCCCCCCCAAATGACTCCTGTTGGAAGTTGCGCCCCCCCCCCCCCCCCACACACACACACACACACACAAGGGGGGGGGGGGGGGGCAACAGCGGTAATTAAAGTTTCAAAGTCTCAAAAATGCTACAACTACTGTCACAAACTGGATGAATGTGAAGTATTTTGTTAAAGGAGGATGAAAGCGTAATTAAGGAGCACTATTGGAGTGACTTTGATGGTTATTGGACTCAGGATTAATTCATTTGGATTCCCTGTATGAAGAAATTAAAGGACGGCGCGGAAGTGGAAACAATTCACAAAGGGATTAAACTGTTTAAAAGTTTAAAACACATGCTCAAAGTAAGCCGGATTTTGCCGATGTGTTTATGTGGATTCAAAAGTCGTAAATAATGTACAAAATGGAGGAGACCAATCTGGTCGGAGCAACTGTGACAAATAATCCAACTGAAACCGGCATGGACAATGACTATGTTTTTAAAAATGCGCTTATCCAGAAAAGCCCGGTTTGGACACTTTAAGGGCAGAAGAAACATTTCTATTAAAGAAAGAATTATACATTTCTGTCTTTTTATGCCTTTATTAGCTTCAGTACTAACTTGAATTGTTATTCAAATTAATTAATCAATTACTTTTTATTTGTTATTGTAATGTAGAGACAAGGCTTTTAGTGACAATCATGTATTGCTTTACAATTATATGTAAAAAAAATAAATAAAAAAAAAGTCTAAATATGATATTTGGCCTCTAATCATCTGAGGCCTGGCGCCCCCCCCTGCGATATTTGGCTAGGCACGCCCCCCAGGTTGGGAACCACTGCTTTAGATGACCAATCACTGAAACGCTCTTTATTTATATCAACTTGCAAGCTATTAAACAGATTATCCATCTATTTTCAAAAGTACACACTCTGCCAAGGAGGTTATGCTTTTAGGCTTGTTCTCTTCTTATTTTGTAATTTTGTCCTTTTGTCTGAAGAACAAAGTATGAGAGATTTTAATAAAACTTGTTAAAAATGTTAAGCAGGGAATCTGAATAATGGGGCAGATACACAATCTTTGTTTCACTTTTGTAAACATTGCAAGACTGATTTTTATATATTTTATAATGTAAATGTTTTATCCTGGGAGCGCTGCTAGCCTACTGGTTAAAGGGCATAATCGCAATGTTTAAGGTTCAAGCAGATTAAAGAAACTAAAACAAATGTTTCAAACATTATCTTTGGCAAATGGTTTGCTGTAATATGAAATACATACTTTGAAAATGGAAAATGTGCACGAACATGTGAAAAACAAGGGTGTTACCCCTTATTGGATATGACCATATGTTATTGCAAGCAAATATGATCTGAGGAAGTCGTAATTTTTCTCCTTGTTCTCTTCCTCGAACTGTTTGCGTTGCTTCCACTTTGCCCCCACCCATGTCTCAAATATCTGTTTCTTTCCTCCGTGTCCACTAGGCAGCCGGGGGGGGGGTCTCTGAGGAAGATGCTGGGTCCAGAGCGCGGTGTTGTCGAAGAATGGCTCTCAGAATTCAAGGTAAAAGGCTCTCCTCTCTTGGTGAAATGTTGTTCTGGAGGTCATCTTTTTTTACTACTGAGAAATCACATGCTGTGGGTGTAATAACTACTGCGATGAGACTGTTGAGCGTGCTACTTCGCCCATGTCACCTCTTCAGCATTTCAGTCTTTTGTAATTGTTGTGATGCAAGCAAGAATTGTGGGCAATAAGGACAGTGAGGAGTCAGGATACTTCTATCATTGTGAACTGAATCAAGTTCAACTCGTAAACTGTTCCTGAAGGATTTATGTAACACAAAACATCCAACACAACATGCCTTCACCTAAACTTGTGTTTACAACTATTCAGATCGCACTTATCCTTTAGTTTCCTTATTCTTTAGTTTCCTTATTCTTTGAACCTACAACAACTGTTTAAGCTTAAGTGTTTAAACACTAGTGCCACTGTTGAAAATCACAAAATAGTCAACTTCACTTACCCATATCTGAAATGTATACATGGTAACACAGTTTTCCTTCTGTTAGTGGTTTGCTTTTTTAATGTCTGAATGTGAAACAAATATTGTGAAAAGCTCATTGTAATGTAGATTTAAGTTCAGCTGCACTCAAGTTAAATTGTGCTTGGTCTGCTTAGTCTGAAACATGTAAGATGGAGTTTAAGGTTAAAATAGTTACGGTGAAATCTTAAAAGACGATTGCTCCTACAGCGGTTAATTTGTGAGTCATTCTGAGATTTTCTCTCAAAAGTATTGTATAAGGATGTATTAATTTATATAACAAATACCATTCTTCCCAAGAAAAACAAAACTATAAATATCTCAGTACAGTAGCTCGTTAGTTCCTAATTCTTATCTTAATTAATTAAGCTGACTTCCTGGTGTAATTTAAGATAACAATCTTGTTTAATGCTCTCTGGGAACACCGTGTTAGCTTCAGCTATACACCCAGTATAGTTGGGTCTAAAAATACATTTTAATCTGCAATCTGTTGCAATCTGTTACTTTGCCAAAAATGAAACGGTTACAACTTACTATTCAGGATACTTTTAAAACAAAACTAATCTAAAGAATAACTCTTAACAATATTGGAAATGTGTCTTCTTTAAGTCAGTCTGTTCCATAAACATGACAACATACTAAAAAAGGCATCTGTGCGTTGACTATTCCAAATGCTCAGAGCCAGAAAAGAAGGAATGTATGTGTAATGCAGCGAGAGCACCAAATAGTGAGAGAGAAACGAGGGAGTATGACGACGATGGTGAGTGAAGGAATGGATTGGTATGACTCATTGTGTGAGTTGGTGCAGGCCGGGCACACTGTGTTCTGCCCTCAAAATGACCATACTTAGGCCGGAGAGGATATCTCTGCCTGCTGTCATCTGCACACAAACACACAGTCTTGACCATTTCAAGTATTTCTCCGCAGGATGTTCTGAGCCTGTCAGATATCATCACTCTGGGTTGTTCAGTTCCTTCAAAGAGTTATTTCGTCATTTCTTTTATCCGATTACACTCAACCTCGCACACTGGATTGTCCAGTCAGTGTTTTCTCCACAGTGCTTTTTAAAACTACTTGAGAAAAAAGGCCTTTTTCATCAAGATTTATTGACATGTCACAATAAAGTGTAAATAATACAATTTAATGATGAGTGAATTCAATGTAGCTGCTTCGGTTTCAGGGTCACTGTTTCAGTGCATGCTGGTTTACTGGGACATTTGAAAAGAACAGAAATAACCTTAATGTTATTGTGGACATCTTTCATTTTGAATGAGGTGAAAATGCAAAAGGGTATGAATTTGTGCCATTTTAGATGTGGATGGAGAGTGACAAGAAATAAGTTAACCTGTGGTTTCAAAAATAATTAAAAAGATCATTTATTTGGGCAGCTGCTGGTTGAGAAATATGTGAACATTTATGTAACACCCACATATGTGTTCAAAGAGTCCAAAGAAAACATGGCACCCAAAACATGCTTGATACTTATAAAAATGCCTTGAATCCTACACCACTACTCTGAAAAGAAAGAAATGTGCGTGCAGTTGCTCATCAAACCTTTGTCTCTCCTCTCTTCAGTCCCTACCAGAAAACCGCATCCCCAGCTACGCCGGCAGCCTTCATCTGAAGAAGTCCCTGGTGTCGGCCCTCTACAGAGTCATCCAGGACCCCAACAATGAGGTGAGAGGACCCCCACTCCTACTGTAAACTGTCACAATTTGTGTTCTTCCATACTAACACTTGTTATTTTGAGTGCATAAATGCATTCACACTGACCGGTATGGCAAAAAGCAGTGGTGTGTAAAGCTGGACACATCAGGCTTGTTGGATTTAAGACAACACTTCCTGAAACGCATGCACTAGGCAAGTGCGTAGATAGTGTACTACATGGAAGTGTCCATAGTGAGACACGGAAATCAAATATTCCAAGTATGGCTGTTTTTTTTTGTGATAAATGTTGAGATTTTTTTTCTCAATTCCTGCATTCTAGTGAATTTTCATAGTAACACTGCACTTCAGACAACCTACAACTGGTGATGGTGTCTAGGTCTTTAAGTGTTAAACAGCTGAGAGCAGTCACTGCTGTTTTTTGTGGTCTTCTTTCACACACACATCTTACCAAGTGGGAGCCAACACACGGGCACCGACCAAGAGGGCGCCCCACGCCAACATACGTGGAGGTGCTGAGGAAGGATGTGGGGGTGGAAAGCTCCACAGAGCTGGCCGGGTGTATGGAGGACCGTGAGGATTGGCGAACCCGTTGGCAAACTCGTCTAAGGACGACCTAGTAGTAGTAGTCCTTGATTGGCTCAAGTTCACACCTTTTTAGGGGCGGGGCTAGTGATGTTGTCCCGGGGATGCTTAGGAGTTGATAAAGGAGATAATCCCACTGACGTCATCATTTGATTCCAAAAGTGGGTCTGGACTCGCGCCCATAGAGGCTGTTTACCAGTATAATGGCTCCCCCCAAAGTATAATTTATGGGTGGCTCCCCCCAAAGTATAATTTATGGGTGGCTCCCCCCAAAGTATAATTTATGGTTTTTTAAGTTTTTTTTACTCATTGCCACCAATGCAAATGCAAATGAGTGCTCACTGAGTCAAAAAACACACAAATTATACTTTGGGGGGAGCCATTATACTTTGGGGGCCCCCCAAAGTATTAACATGCTGTGGGAATCACTGGCATAGTCATAGATGCAGAAACTTTATAAACACACACTAGGTCACATTTAGTTATTTGAGCTGTGCTGCAACAAAAGCACCTCACTGTTTTTAAATGTCTTCAAAACCAGCATGGCTAAACCTGTATTTTCTCTTTAAAAGACCTAATGAGGCACTTTTTGAGCAAAGGCCCAAGGCACTCAATGAGACGGGACTTTAATTTCATTCTAATTATACAGTTGGTGCCTTACAACCCCCCTCCACCCCCAGTTTTTTCCCGCTTCTTCATGGACGAATTTGGGTGTCAAGCAACCAGGGATCTAAATTCCATTAGTGTTGTCGATCTGGCTGCACAATCCCATTAACGGTAGGACAAGTGATCCAGCTAGTGTGTGTGTATGCACGTGCAAATGTCTGTGTGTACGAGTGTGTGTGTGAGAGAGAGATAGTTGCATGTTTGGTGTTTTTGGCTGATGACATGGAGGGCCATATGCCTTGCCAAGTTCATTAATAAGTTGACGCTCCCAGGGTCGGCCACAGTCCCACACACACACACACACACACACACACACACTGACAGTAGTGCTGTGTGGGCACTCTCTTCACTGACCCCTGAGCAGTATAAACACATTGGCTCAGCTGGCTCCCCTGAGAGAACATCTGACCAGACTTCCATTGTAGTGATTTATCCCCTCTGCTCTTACACGCCTCCACTATTGACCCGCAGCAAAACTTTCCCTCCATCAGTCCATCCCACTGTGCCTTCAGTGTTTTAGTCAGGATGACATTCATTCAGGTTTTATTATAAGCCATTTCTTTTTGATATTTGGAGCTTGACATATGCTTTTTATTAATCAGGTTATCATACTAGGAGTTGCAATTTGAAACTAGCCGAAAATGGCTGAAAATACTGTATCTAGCCTCTAAAATATGTTTTATTTCATTTTCTCAGTTTTGTATCATGTTAAACTGAATATCTGACTGGACTGACATTTAAATGTACCTTAATTCCACGAGAGTCTGAGACTTCGTACTGATTTGCATTCCTTATGTCCCCTCCTACATTCCAGCTGATGGAGCCTGTGTGCCACCAGCTGTTCGAGCTGTACCGGAGCTCTGAGGACCGCCTGCGCCGCTTCACCCTGCAGTTCCTCCCCGAGCTGGTGTGGGTCTATCTGCGCATCACGGCGAGCAGGGACCGCCAGAGCAACGGCTGCATCGAGGCCCTCCTCCTGGGCATCTATAACCTGGTGGGTGTCTGTAGAAGTGTGCGGGGAAGCAATGGCAAAACCTTCTAGCAGTGTGTTCACTTAGCACAATGCTAGCTTACCGATGATTTTATGTGGGCTATTTTGCATCAACACTCTTTTCTCTATTCTATTAACAATTACTCAGAAAGAGTCAGAAAAGCTAGTAAAAGTGGCTTTTAGACTTCATCTACAGCTGGTCAGGACTGCCAAAGTTAAGCCCCTAAGGTTCGATTTGCCCTGGCAGATGTTCTTGGTTGAAAGAAATGTAATTGTAAATGTGTCATTTTAAACGGTTATAACATAAATTGCTGTTGTTCTGTTTGTTGTTAGGTTAAAAAAGCTCTACATTTAAAGTATCGCAAAATGATGATTTGTCTAATAGTCTGAGCAAGGACATCTAGAGTAATACTTTGTTCAGGAAGTCCGTTTGGCACAAGTGAGGTAAGCAGAGGTAGTGGCACACAACACATTTGGATTATTTATTGCTTTTGGCTAGCCATTAAGTTTCAGTTTTGGCCCTCAAAGCGAGAAGAATTGGGCAGTTGTGGTCAAGGTCAAGACTGCCGTAGAGGAACTCTGAGTCCCTGCAGCTTGAGGGATGATGCCCTGTAAACGACCCTGACAGTGTAACACTTCATTGTTATCACCATCATCTCCATCAGCAGGGATACCCAGTGTCATAGTTCCCGCTGTTGAAATGAACTCTTCGAATACATGATGCTGTCTCACCAGGATAGTGTTGTTGTTATATTGTCGATCTACAAAGAAACCCTTATTTTTATTCCTAATTCTACTTATTTAGTCATTAATGAGCCTCAGTATCTGACTTTGATGAAATAATAATATGCCATTATTTTTCCACTGGTGAATATGGATGAACACAGGTAGATGTGATATTTTTAGATGAAAGGCTGATCTTTTCTTTCAACCGTATCCAATCACATTTGTTTCTATAACTTTGAAGATAGCTGTGAAAGGCTCTGTGTTAATATTTGGTTATCTCTTTGGACTTAATAATACAGGTGAAACATTAGCGAGGCAGTACGCCTGTTGCCATTAAAGACGATCTACAGGGAAATCTCCGGTTAATGGATAGACCCAGGATAGATTGCATCACCAGGAAACACCCTTAGGGAAATGGGCTAAGAGCTAGAGATATCAATAGGAAGAGCTCCATGTCAGCCAACACCATTGAAGGTATATCCATGCATAATTTATTCCTCCATACAACTCCACACTCACACACTCCGCTGCCCTGTACATAGACGTTTCTCCTATGTTCATTGGTGACTCTGCTCTGGCAAACAGCTCTGCTCTCAGCAGGTCCATTAGATATTCAGAGATATACTTCTGGCCAATGAAGGGCAGGACAAGGCCTAACTACAGGATGTTGGGGAATACAATTGAAAAATACTTGTTTGGTAACCCATGTTATGGATGCTTGGAAGAGTCAACTTGTTTTTGTGCCTTTTTATTTGCATTAATTTACTAAGCCAGGGAAAAAGAACCTGACCACTTTGACAGAAAATGTTTCAGTAAAAGCACATTCATCCATATTTAATGATACAACATAAACTCCACCACCTACCACATAATACATGGATTATACAAATAATACCCAGGATTTGTACACACTTAAACTTGAATGGGTTCCTTTTTTAATATGCTAATGTATCTCTGCGCTTTTCTCGCGTCTCTTCCTCACGTCTCCCATTGAGGAATGTGAAAGAGATTTCTGCTTTAGTAGCGTCGGTCTTAAGAGACGTCGGTTTCTTATGGCGGCACAGCTTTGTGTCACCTAGAGGTTTGTCATGTATACGTCACACCACTTCACAAAGACTTCTACTTAGGATGCTCCTGTGTTAAGTTGCTCTAAGCGCCTCTAGAAGTCTCCTCGCTCCACGTCTCCTCGAGGTGCATTTAAGGGATTTGAAGATCCTCCACGATTGCAGAGTGGAGACGATTTTCAGGGTGGAGAGAGGACGTGAAGAAGCACAAGCTAGCGTAATGAAAACAGCCTAGGTCTCCCAATCAGTTTCCCACTAGGCTAACATGTTGTAAAAACAATTACTCCATCAATGACTCTTACACACCTCTTGAATCTTCCTCGACGGCGCGTAATTGGTTTACAGAGCAAAGTAGGAATAACAAGTGCTTTTTGGCAAATGAAGAATGCTCATCTCAACGTCTCTGTGAATGGACTTCATTATCGCTTCCACTGCGGCTGCGAGTGGTTCAGATAATCAGGCATTACTGTTCATGGACTCATTCATCTTTGGGCTATGTATCACAATTGGAATTGAGTGGTGATGGTGCTGGCAGTGACATTTAATCTGTCAGAGTCAATAACACGTCCCAGCAGAACGGTCTTACACCAACAGCGTGAGAGTCGGGGGACGGTACAGTCATCCGTATGCTATGAGAGGCCGTCTAGCTCACAACTCATACTTGGTCTTACAAACAATATCAGAATCTCACACATACACCATTAAACTCTTTTATACATATTGCTAAACACTTTTACACGCACAATCATACTCTCTTTCACACACTTTTGTCTGGGCCATAAATCAAACTGACTTACATACCAAACTGTATTTTCTTAGAAACACTATTATTCCCACTTACATACAACATCATACTACAATATTATACTCTAGTAGTGTATGCAAGATGGAAAACTTTGTGTGTGAGAGAGGAATTGTAGTATGTATAAGGGTATAGTAGTGTGTGTGAGAAAGAATGATAGTGTATGTGAAAGACAATGCAGGGTTGCGGTCGAATAGTCCGTTTCTCTTAGGAACCTTCCTAACGGAGTGAAATGACCCGGAAGTACCTCAGTGGCAGCCATGATCAGTGCCGTTCGAATTCTCGAGTCTAGACTCTATATGATAGGAAAGGCGGTTTCAAACTAAGAGAAAATGCTGTCCCACAGGCACAGCATTTGGCGTCACACAACATTCGGCCGTTCACGGAAACAACCGATTATGACCGAGAAATGATATCATGAAAGTTACTGTGCTTATTAAGCATTTTAAAACGTATGTGGTAAGTTGCCAAAGTGCTTTGTTTTGAACGTTCATCAGTATTATAATCAAAAAGAGAAATATGAACGTTAGTTTTTACTGAAATTATCAGTAAATGTAAGGGAGAGGGTGACGAGCATAAGTTTCACTTTCCTTTTTTATTTCAATTCCAACTTTGGTCCTGAAGAATATGTTTCTCTGTTTTCCACGTTCATAAAGCATAAAACAACAGCATCAGAGCACGGTGCAGAGTCTCTAGATGAGTTTACAGTAGTCCCTCGTTCTTATTGAACATCCATGTTGTAGTCCGCTGTATAGAAAACTGTAGTTTCCATAGTTCCCCCACAGCAGCAGACGCACATTCATGACGTCCGCTGGCGCATCATAAACAGTGAAAACGGATAGTGAAAGTGCAGTCGGATTCTCAAAGTACCGCAGTCTCTTCTCCTAAGTCCTTTTGAATTCTCCTATCCACTATCCCTTAACGCCGTGACGTTTCACTCAGATGTCAAGGAATAGACGATAGGGTTAGACGTTAGGAGCTGATTGTTGGACTATTCAACTGCAACCCTTGTGTTTTTGAGAGCTTATGACAGGAGGACATTGTACTGGTTGTGAGAGAGCATACTTTAAAAAGAAGTCAGGTTGATCCAACAGGAAGCCAGTTTAAATATTAATTCCTTGACTGGTTTACAGCCTTGAAAACAAAGCCTGAAGCTGCTCAGAGCACGGCTACATTTGAGCTGCAATAAGAACTTTTGGTAACACTTTATATTAAGGTACACACATTCACCATCAACTAGTTGATAATTAACATGCATATTAGCTATTTATTAGTCGTTATAAAACACTTATTAATGCCTTATTCTACATGACCAGATTATACAAGTAATAGGCCATTAGTTGAGTTTTTCCTCAATAACCCTTTAATTAGTGCTTATTTATTGCAAGTAAGGAAGTTGTTGTACATGAGTTTTGGTCTTAATATGCTCTGCTCAATATGGGCCCAATAAGACAGTAGTACCTAATTTTGAGTTATTTAGACTTAATTAACACTTAATAGTTTCATGTCTTGTTACATAAGAATAGATCATATTTAATCCAAAAAATATCTATTTGTGATCATACTGTGTGACCTGCTTGTATGTACTTACACTATAGGTGTACTGTTCTCTCTGTGTTGTACTGTCTCAGTGTGAACATAGATTAAACAGCCAGCCAAACTCTTTTGAGAGCCAGGGAATGAGCAGCCATGCTCCTTAATTGACTTATTTGCAGTCTACTGACATTCAAACGGAGTGAAACTATACAAAAAGAAGTTACAAGGCACTTAATGATCTCATACATGCAAGTGTAACATACACAGATTAACACTTAGGACCGCTAAGTGTAAACAAGGTAAATATAGCTAATGCTAGCTGTGCAATAAGCATGTATACAGGCTAGTATGGCTAACGCTAGCGTGTATGCTAGCGCGAATGCTAACGCATTTAAACCAGACTTAAACCTATGATTTAAACGCAGTTTAAACATCTCCAAATGTCATCACATAAACACAATACATGTTACTAATCCTTACAGTCAGTGTAAGTGTTAGGCTTACACTTACACTTACTGTCATTGCTTTCTGACGGACTTGACCCTTTTACTCTTCAGGTTACACAGGGAAAATTAGTAGTAGTCTACTGCCACTGTGGGCGGTGTCCGTCAAACAAAAAACGTAGAGCCAATCAGGAACTGAGAATTTAGACCAACTTCCTTTTCAATCAAACTCACTTCCTTTTCAATCATACTCTCTCACACACATAACTATTCTTATGCACACACCCTATCATTCTGTTTTATACACATACATATAGTCATTCACATTAACTATTATTACCTCTTATATAAGCTATTATTCGGCCTTTCATTCACTGCTATTCTCTTTTACATATATGACTATTGTTATTAACATGAAATACTATTCCCTCTTACAAAGGTTATTATTCTGTCTTACATACATTGTTCACCGATTACACACATACTACTATCCTCTTTCACATACACCATTATAATGTTATATTAGATTATAGTTGTTTGTGAAAGACTATAGTGGTGTGTGTACGAGAGTATGATGGTGCGTTTAAGAGATTTTGTTTTTGTGTGTGAGAGAGAATAGTTATTTATGTATGATAGTATGATAGTAAATGAAGGAAAGAATGACAGTATGTTAAAGATGGTATGATGCTGTGTGTGAAAGAGTCTGGTGGTGTACATGTGAGATTCTGATATTGTTTGTAAGACGAAGTATGAGTTGTGAGCTAGACGGCCTCTCATGCTAAATGCTTTCGCCCAATGAAGGGCTTATCTGGGTAAAAGATTTGCAATCAGAATTAAAATCTGAATATAGATAAAAATCAAGCATAAAACTGTATAAAACAATTCTCTTTTCCTGTAATAACAATTTTTTTCTGTCTTTTTTTTCTTCTGTTTTTTGTTTTGCAGGAGATCGTTGACAAAGAGGGCAACAGCAGGCTCCTCTCCTTCACAATCCCATCTCTGTCCAAACCATCGATTTACCATGAGGTGGGGCTCCTGCCTATGAATTATTTTTCAATGTTTTAGTTATTTTTGTATTTACAGCACCACTCTTATCAGTGTACTCTACTATTTACTTTCACTGTTCTTGCCCTTCTCGTCCTCTTTTGCTGATTCCTCTCCTTCTCTCTGTCTATGCATTCTTCCCGCTGACTGTTATAGAGATTTATTTAAGTGGCTGTTTGGGAGATGACAACTCCTCAGTGTTAAACGCTACAGGAGGTCCATTTTCATTAACCTCACCTTCAGGGCTTATCCATCTGTGTGTTTTAAAGGTGTCAGGAAGCACCCAACAACTGTCAGAAGACACTGAACAAAGCCTCCTCAGCTCACTTATCGTGTGTACAGCAAAAGCTTCACTATGAATGACTTTTTTAGTAAGTTTGTCCCATTTATTTAGCTCTTTCTTAGGATTTTCAGCCCGAGGGTAATTATTAGTTTTGACTAACTATCACCTGAAGTCTCTCTCTTTTTTTTGTTATCCACCAGTCTGATTTTGAAAATATTTAGCATGAAAATGTGGGCAGGCATACAAGGTCTAGGCAGGTTATTCTGTTGCTTTGAAATAAGCTGACTTTAAACTTCTATCCAGTGTTAGTAACCTGTCTGCTAAAACAGGTCACAGTATTGACTGTTGTGTTGACCTGGATTTCACTAGGAAGTTGTTTAACAGGAACTGCTGACCTAGGATCTTTTACTGAGGGCAGAGAGAAGCAGTGTTTGGCTAGTCTCTAAGGTTTTTTCTGCAACACAAAACAGAGCAAACAATATTTATTCATGCAGTATGACAGCCATCAGTAGGTGCTTGTGAGTGTGCTCGTGAGTGTCGATGGGACTACAGTGTGTGGCGCATGCTGAGGGCGATTCATCACTGTAATTACAAGCTTGAGAGGCTCTTCCCTCCATGCTGTGAGAATGAAGAAAGCATGGAGGCGGGTGAGGGGAGGTCTTGGTGTGTGTGTGTGAGTCACATCAAGCTTTCCAGGCTGTAGTACGGCTCCACGCATCACAGGGCCTTTTCCCCAGACCTCCAGCATTAGCATGCTCCCCAGTCTCTCTTTTTGAATGAATCCAGCCTCCCCTCCATCACCAATAGGCATCACCCAAGATACGTATGACAGAATATCAAGTCGGTTTAGGGGTGACTTTTGTTCTGCCCGCCATCAGAATAGAGTGGTCATGTAGCATATTCTCACTTGGACATTAACAGTTATTTGTCACTGTTTCAGTCTTTAATTGTGCTACAGTACTTTCCCCTCAATTTTTTTTTAATAAAATACAGGGTTTAAAGATCAAATGCAAAGGTTTTTTTATAATTGCCAGTAAAATCGAAATCATATAGCTACAACACTGTCTAAGATATTGCAGTATTAAAATCGGAGATAATATGCGTCTGGCAATGTGCAATATTTATTTTGTTCAACCCCCAACACCAAGTCCGACGATTTATTTTCTCAGCCGCTCCTCCGCAAGATGGCGTCGCGTGACGTCACAGTGGCCAAACAAACAAACCTTGGCTTATCGCTCACAGCTGCTTCCGCCGATAGTACAACTTAGTTTCGTTATCATGTCTGATTCTGAGTAGACTATAGACTAAAAGCTTTAGGAATCCAAACTATAACATATAATAAGTACCCTGTATCAAGATTGATGCAAAACAAGTGGAATTTGACCTTTTTAGAGAGGTTTAGAAAAATAAAGTCCAGGCGGACTCACCACTGGGTAATTTGGGAACCATCACAACCAAACACAATGCTAACAGTGAGACTCTGAATTAGCCCCGAGCGAAAAATGCTAACCTATTACTGCACCGAAATCACTCCTAGCTTCCTTATTACTTATCCTAGCTCCACATCCAACACATTGTTTATGATCGTAAAGACACAGAATCTAACGGTGCCCACCTCTATAAGCAATAAAACTGCAATTCCGTTATCTGCGTTATCTGCTGTGCTCCGTGCGCTTTGAAATCTATTCAAAAGTTGTTTACCTCAATTCTTTGGCGTTTCTGCATCGCCCGGCTCTTTCGTTCTTTCAGTGGTTTCTTGTGCTGAAATATGGAGGGGACGGCTCCGGGTTTCAGCCTCCGACGTGCTATTAATGCTTCTCCACCAACAGACTTCATGATAGCAGGATCAACGTCGTATGCATCACACGCGAAGTGGTCAGAACACAACTTACTCCATTTTGTCGGTTGCCATCCAACACGATTCACTAAAAAAATCCATTTTGTGCGGATGATTTGGTCTTTGGGAAATGCATGTAAAACTCTCCCAGATCCCGCACCGTTCGTACAACAAAAAGCTCAACAATAACCCATGTTAATTCAGTTTTCTTTTCGAAAAACATGTGACCGAGACTGCCGAGTCGGGATATTTGGTCCAGAGACTGTTTGGCCACTATTACGTCACGCGCGCGGAGGCTGCTGGGAATTACATGTCAGAAATTCAGACGGCTTTGGGTCGAGTTTTGGATCAATAAAAAGCTTTTTTTTGGGTGTATTATCTCGATTTAAATCAAATAAAAAATACAGGCAGTCTTAAAAACAACATTTCTATAAAAATGTAGCATATTTGGAAGCTTTGCATTTGATTTGCTTATTCTCTATCAACTTTATTTGCTCTGTTTTGATTGTTCCAATTCAAAAACAGGAAAATCAAAACAAGGCACGGCAAGTTGAAACAAACACATTTAAAAAAACATTGGAATTCAAGGTGCATGTCCAACAAAACAAACACAAATTATTAAGCCAGAGAGCTAATGTAACACTTTAGAAATATGTTTTAAAACACAAATACTGTAGCTAAGCTAATTAGACAACCAGTGGAACTTCCTGCTTTCATACAGTGCAGACGCTTTTCTTCTTGCTCTCACTACATATCTGTTGTATCGTTTTTTTAATAGCATCACAGATCAGGTAGTGACACCCGAAACGAGTGCCTGACTTATTAAAGGTTCACCATGTGATGTTTGAAGTAACACCTTGACATTTACACCACAAAAGGTTAATGTTTTATTTCATGAAAGTGAATGACCTTTATGGTGTTGGGGGAGGTTATCTTTATCTCAGGTGAGGTGTCTCACTTCAACTATAAAACACTGCAGGACATCATTGAGTGCCTTGGGCCTTTGCTCAAAAAGTGCCTCATTAGGTCTTTTAAAGAGAAAATACAGGTTTAGCCATGCTGGTTTTGAAGACATTTAAAAACAGTGAGGTGCTTGTGTGTTGCAGCACAGCTCAAATAAATAAATGTGACCTAGTGTGTGTTTATAAAGTTTCTGAATAGGTGCGCAGAAGGTAGTGGAGAAACTCAAATAGAAACACGGATGAAATGGTTGAAAGGAACATTTTAAGCTTAATGTAGCATGAAGGACTGTGTAGAAGATACAGGGAGAAATGCAACACGTAACTTTTAGTGGCAAAGTTGTGCAGTCAGCAGTTTCTCGCTGAACATGGAAACAAATTCCAACTTTAGAACCAATAAATAGGGCGACCAGAAAGCAATCAGGCGCTGCCAGTTAATGCTCTCAGGGGAGAGAGAGTTTGGCGGAGGTCCAGTTGTAATATCAATCCTCTGTAATGAAATCTGAACACTAATCACAGCAGTTTTCCATCTGAGCAGAGCAGAGGCCCCCGTTTGTCAATCAACAACTTGATGGGCACAACAGCTCCACATTACAATCGCAACATCATCATTGTCAATTTAATAGCATGTTGTAAGAGCCACCACAGTGGACAAGTGTTTAAGTGTTTCAATTTATGGGAGGCGAAAGCTCTATTCTGGAGGTTTTTACAAAGGCTTTTGTATATCATTAATTAACATAACATTTTATTCTTAAATGTATTGGGGAATTGTTTATTTTGACTGTATTTTGACAGTGTTGAACGTATTTACTTTTCTTTTTTTTACTTTTTTCTGTTTTGTGATACAAAAGGTTGTTTCTCTCTCAAACCCATAACTCAAGATGTTCAGATTTCGATCCTGGAAACAAATGCAAATTAGCAAGTATTCACAGCGGAATAAGATCATGCCTCATTTGCATATGTAAATGTGCATGACATCTTATATAACTTTAAAACTGTATGCAAGCAATCTGCTGTGGAAGTTTCATGGTAATATCTATTAACTATCTATTAGTTAACATTTAAACTAAAACAGTTTTTTTTGTTTTTAGCCTTCTAGCCTGGGGTCCATGGCATTAACAGAGGGGGCCCTCTGTCAACATGATCTGATCCGAGTGGTGTACAGCGGCCTCCACCCGCAGAGAGAGACCTTCACCGCTCAGAACAGGTAACACTCCATCAGCTTTTAACAGACAGGGAATAATCTGAGACGCAGTAACGCCACAAAAGAGATGAAATGGCAGCCGTTTAGAGACATTATGCTAAGTCTTCTGTTCCGAATGGCTCACCAGAGAGGCGAACCTTTTGTTGCTTCTTGGAGACAGAGAAATGGCAGCGCAGTGGGCCGTTCAGCCTCACTAAACACAGGTGGCACCGCCAGACTGTCATCATTCCCTCCTATTTATTTTGTTCCTTTCTTTCACATCTCACCCTTCCCAATAAGATGAAAAATACCTTTTAAGATGATCAGAGCATAACCCTCGACTCTCATTCAGCCTCTTCTGGCCAGACTAAGCAGACCTGAAAGCTTTCTTGGCTCTTACAATTTTCTCTGCAGCTGTGGATGAATGGCAATCTTGGCATAGTAATGAAGCGTGCTGGAGTCCTGCCAGAAAATGGTGGTGCTTTTTGTTTGCAGTGACACATGCGCAGAGACTGACACAGCATCAGCTCTGGTACCTCAGAGGTGTGGGGGCAGCACAGATCACACTGGTCATCCCAGCCTTGTCCAAAGCAGCGTCCCCCCAGTGTCATAAATACAGTGAATGGATTTCAGCAGGGCTGGGCCTCATAGCTTGTCTGGAAACCCATTTGTGTGCCCGGGCCTGAGATGGTGTTTATGAGAAGAAAGCCTGAAGCTCATGAGTGGTGCCGGCTCACTCTGACTGATGATATACAACGAGGCCATTTACCTCCCTCTGCGCACAGTCAATTATGGCCCTTACACTCGAGGTCTTCCTTCTGGATGTAATCTATCAATACACACACTCTCCAAAACACACATGCACCAAATGGGGATGCACAATATTGATATTTGTACAGAGATTTTAAAATGGATCACTTCAAGTAGGTTGTTTTGCTCTCATTTCAACACCATGTCTCTTCACCAGAAGCATCACTGTGATCTATGAGACTTTACTAACGCTGTCCCAAATGATCTTGAGAATTGTCCTCCTGTATCTGCAGTCCTTTAAAACAGAACAAAACCCCTTAACTCTAATGTAATATTTAATTGTATGTATCATTTGTCAACATGACATTTGAAACACCTCACTCTGTTGTCAAAGAACCAAGGTTACGTTAAATAACCCAAAGTGTTTCACGGCAGCAGATAGCTTTGAGTTGTCGAGAATATGAGGTATATATTTTTTGATTTCCACGCAACACACTGACTGCAACAAGTGAAAATGATACAACAGATACGAATTTACATAATTCTTATAATGTTTTATCTATTTTTGCCTTTGTTGCCAAAGGAAACTGTTAGCACCGTGTAAGCAGCCGACTTTTTAGCTCAGTCCCCTCCATAGTCACTTGTGAGGGCCGTGTGCGTGCATTCATTCTGTAGACTCTAAGGCTGCAGCCACACGAGGACGATAACGGTCGTATCGGCTACAGTTCTTTATCAGATAGACGGTTCGGCCACACGAGCCCGACTTGGAAACGCAGTTAACGATAACGGGTCCCAAGGTGGGTAGATCTGCGGACGAAACGCTCTGGGGGGCCAAACGGCTTCGTGTCTACGCCCAATAACGATAATTTCCTGATAACGATGACGCAATATCCCCAGTGTTTCGAGCCAGGTCCCGGTATCTCGCAGGACAGTGCACCCAACAGGAGCTTCCAGCTAGATTTGATCGATATGGACATAAACGCGAGTGAAGTCTAATCGGACAGGAGAGGAGACACACAGCTCTGCATGATAACCTGCAGCTCCGCCTGCTGTGATGGAGCGATGAGCGGAACAAAACACACACTTCAAGTTAGATTATCACCCTTAGATATTTTAATTACCTCTCAAACTACCTAAACTAGTTATAAATATGTTTATTTTTACTGTCGGGTCACTCATTACTGGATCAGCCAGCTGCATGAGACCACGGATACTGACGGGCTGTCAGGAGAGGGGGAGGAAAAGAGAGGCTCCGTCCTCCGTGTATTATCCTTATATTATTATATAGAGTCGTTATTAATTTGTTTTAAAGCTCAATAAATAACAAAGAAGACCTTTGACCATGCCTTTGACCGGCACTTTTCTAATTTTGTCCGGAAGATTTAAACTTTAACGGACATGTTGACCGGCGAAACCCCACCTCTGCTGCTAAATCCAGCGCGGAGAATAAAGAGAAGGGCAACCATGGCAATCATGCATGCGCGAGAAGTCTTCTTCGCTGCTTTTGGTGTATTTTGTGGCAGAAGTACAGCGCCACTTACAGGCCCGGCATATGTACTACAGCGTCTCCAGCGGTTCGAGCAGTCTCGTGTGTACGGACACGTTTCTGGTGCCTATTGCGTGTGGACGGAAGACTTTTTTGATAACGATTTCGGTGCGTTTCCGTTACCGTCCTCGTGTGGCTGCAGCCTAAATGTCATATAGCACCTTTAACAAAAGTTACACCTTTCATCCAAGTTTTATGAAAATGGGGCATTTACAAAAACTGAACCATAACCACTTTAACAAAGGTCATTACTTCCTTATTGCTGAATATTGCACCAATAAAGTCCTGACTCTACACACTGACATGGTGTGTTGAGAGTTTAAGGGTGATCCCTGCAGTACAGCAGGCTTTTATTCATAGGTAGTTCACAAGGAACAAAACGGCTTAGGCAAGCAGTTTTGCTTAACAGACTATTTTACAGTTTCACAGTTGATAAATTGCATGAGCACCTCTACCTAATTGTCTACAGCAAAGATGTCAACGTTGAATAGAATGTTAAATGATAATTGGACAGGTTGGGGTTTAGCTGAATTTAATGAAAGCTGCTTTTAGAATCTTGCATAATGACAGTGAATGACAGTCTGTTCTACTGTGCTTCATTCAGACTGTTTTTATGATTGCAGGTTTGAAGTGCTGTGTTTCCTCATGCTCTGCTACAACTCTGCTGTGGTGTACATGCCTCTGTCCTCCTACCAGTCTGTCTGCAGAATGAGCTCACGGTGAGGAAAACTCATGTAAAAAGAATGTGGAATATTTTCTTGTCTTTTATTGTCCAACGTTTTGTCCTTTCTTTACCCTATGAGTTACCACATGCTCCTCTCCTACCTCCATTACATGCTTTACTGAATCTAGCACTAAATAATGTCCTCTACCCTGTAGCCATACTCTGACCTTGATACAGACAGCCCTGGTTGCAGGAGGATCTGATAAGTATTATTTCCTAAAGGCTCAGTTGTCTGCGGATGAAAGCATCGCTGCTGGATACCTGTCCATCTGGGAAACACAGCGATGCCCTGGAGTGAGGAGAAAGGCTTAATGAGGAATTCACAATGTGAGGCTGTGTAGTGCAGCCGCCGCCCTGTGGTCACTGCACCGCAGCTCGCAGGCGCTCCAGGATTTGAAGACTTCCCTACTGGGAGGCGGACAACGCCTGAAGGAAGCTCGGTCTAGACAGACGGCAAACTGAGACTGTGAACACTTCAAAGCACCAGAACAATGCTCAGTGTCTGAATCTAGACCCCAAACATCCCACCGTCTGACCTTGTCTGACCTCTACAAGTGGAGAATACATTTCCCCCCCTTGCTCTTTGTGTGGTTTTCTAAAGTGAATGATGTTTTGTTAAGATCTTTTTCCAACCTAATGTCATCATTTTTGAAAAATACAATAACGTCTCAAATTTGAATTACATTTGGACTTCACCTTAATGAAAATGTAATAATAATAATGTAATATCTTGACCAGTGATGCAATCCAATGTCCTGACTGCTATTATACAATTAGTTTTACCAATAATGTAATGGGTCTTTTTTTTTTCAGAACTGATGATGCATAATTTTGATCAACCTAATGTACTATTTAAAAAAACATTTCAAAGACACTGCTATATATTGCATACACATTACATTCCGAGTAAAAAATAATACTTTTTAAAGTTATTACATTATTCCTCAATATCATTATATCAGAAGCTTTAAGTAAAAGATCAACCTTGTAGGCAATACATTATTGTTAAAAATATGTTATTAGATTATCAGTAAGGACATGTTTCTTCATTCTTAAATTATAATATAAAATGACATTTTATTACAGTTTTTGAAAATATTACATTATTTGTTGCTACAGTTGTTTTCCTCAAGGCTCATCTTTACTCATCTTACTAACGTGACTTTGTTTGTCTGTTTACTCCTCAGGCTGTGTGTGTGTGGGTTCCCCCGGCAACAGAAGAAGCTTTGGAGGGAACCGTGCAACCGTGTGCTGCTCGACCCGGAGTTCATGGTGCAGATGCTGACCGCCGTTTATCACGCCATGTATGTATCTCAAGCTGCAATGACTGATAGTTTCCTACTTGTTAGCAAACAGCTGCTTATTTTAGATCAGTTTGTTCTCTACCAACTCTTGAGGGAAATCTATGATAAATAGCTGCCAAATGCTCTGCTGTGGTTGATTGCTAGGTGCTTACTGCGTCTGTCTTCCCTTTAGACCAGTGCTTCTCAAAGTGTGGTCCGCGGACCACTGGTGGTCCGTGAGCGCCCCCTAGTGGTCCGTGAGTATATTGGTAACATTTCACATTTGAAATAAATAAATAAATTTAAGTTTTCCGCACTCTCGCGGGAATATCTCCGCAATGGAACAAGCTTAAGTTTCACTTTCGATTGCATGATATAGCCCAGATAAACACCTTCATCACACATGTTGCCACTTGTTTGTACAATTTTCAGGCGATTTGTAAAAAACGATGTGTTTTTGGATATTTGTGGAGTTAGGTGGTCCGCGAGTGTTTTTTTATTGGTTAAGTGGTCCTTGGTATGAAAAAGTTTGAGAAACACTGCAAAGTTTAGACTATCTATCCCCGAGCGGATAGTTTACAGGGGATTTGTTTAATATCTAATAATAATACAAAAGATGCTGCTGCCAAAAAGGAACAGAGAGTGAAGCAAGGTAGTCAAGTTTCAGCAAAAACAATGAACGGAAAAATGCTAAAAATGTCTGTAAAGCCGTGGGGGGGTGATGATTCTCTGTAAGTTCACCACTACGAGCGACCCCTTTCTGATCGTCACATTGTTTCCACTCTGTCATTTGATACATTATTTAAAAAATCAATTAGAGCTGCACAATTGGCTTTCATCCCTGCCGTTTTACATCACCACTCTTTCTGGGAAGATCATGGAGGACATTAAAGATAAAACGCAATAGGGAGAGTGATCATCTCTCGTTTGTTGCGCACATTAACAGATATCATCACCTAAAGGAGTTCCTTTATGAGCTACATAACACACTGTTTCTCATTTCTGTGGCTCTGCGGGACATCACTAATGAGGGCAGTCTCTGCTAGTATTCTGCGATCCACTGCAGAAAATCTCCTAACAGTGTACTCCACCAAGGACCGAAGCTCCCCGCTGTACGGACTGATTCCATCGGCAGTGCATTGTGGGAGCAGGTGATTTCATCCCCTATGAGGACAATTGTTGCAAAGCTGATTACGGCCTCACGTTGAAAGCTCGTGCTCGAGATGGATCCCCTGATACGAGAGTAAATGGAATCACCACGGTTAAGGATTGTGAAGAAGGAGAGGGTGGAGGGAATGAGTATGCATGCTCCCATGAGGGTGCAATGCAGCAATCAGGAGATTGAAACAGTCAGTTCTGCTGGAAAAAGAAGTGTGTGGGTGTAAGAATAGTAGCCTTTTTAGTAATCCCTACCATAGGTCACCCTCAGTGCCAGCCTGAAGTCTCACATTCACCTTGAGCTCTAGCAGGTGCATGTGAACGGCAGATAAATACAAATCCATTGAGGACACTGGGATTTAGGTTAATAAGTCTGCTAATGCTACAGTGTATAATACCACATAAGGAGAACGAGAGGAAAGGACACAGGGATATCAGAACAAATAGACACATGCCAGATTGTCGTTTTTGAAGGTTTGAAATGTATTCCGGACAGATTTTCCATCCTTCCAATATCACAGTGTCTGTTTTTACCTGCCCATTCATAGCTTCCCTTTCATCTGGAGTGTAAAGAGACGCATTTGTCCCCGCCTGTGTGGGCCGGATCAAAGGGAGTTCAGCCGTGCAGTTTTTTTGTAAATGTTTAATGTGTTTATTTCCTGCTGCTCTTCCTTTTATCAATCTCGTTCAACTGCACGGTTGTGAAATCACCTTATGCAAAGCTAGCAAGATTCATTCCAAAACATTGAAACCACTCCTCCAGTTCCATGCATCCTTTATTCACACTATTTCCATATCAGCTCATCACATTGACTCCACACAAATGAAAAAACGGCCAGGGAATGATAATTTAATGGTTAAACAGACAATAGTGTGACAGATGTAACAACTCCCTGACTGGATAGCTTCTCCTTCCCTCCCTCACTCAGGCTGCAGGCATTACTTTAAAACTAATAATAGTTCACAAGGATGTGACTCAGACATCAAGGCATTTCATCAGGCGCTCCTGTTTACGCAAATAGGCTCACAACATGACATTAACTGATTTTGTGTTTTGTGATGTGTAGATATAATGGAGAGTGGGAGATGGGCCGGGAAGCTCTGGAGGACGTTCTGTACCGAGCCCAGCTGGAGCTTTACTCCCAGCCTCTGTTGGTAAGAGCACCAGCACTGTGTGTCTGTGGAGTCAATCACTTATATAACTCGACACTATAGTCTAATGATGCTTTTGATCTGCCAAACTTTACACAAATCAGCATAGACGTTTTTAATGTATATAGTACACTATGTTAATATGTTTCTGACCCCTTAGTTGATTGGTATATTAGAGAGTATTCTCATTTATGCTGTATATTTTGTAGTGTGTATTCTTGGATAGTGGTCTGAATATATGTATTTCATTTTCTTTCTTTTTTTTAAACTTTATTGTTATAGTTTTTCGTTTTTGTTACAATAATGAACAGACAAACAATATGAAAGCAGACAGGGTCATCCTGGGTAAAAATAAATGCTTATTAATTGCTGCTTTGACAAAACAATTTCACAACTTGGGATAAATAAAGGATATATCTTTCTCTGTCTATCTATCATAAATCAGCAAAGTCGGGCTCATAATGCATGACGCTTTCAATCTTGTCTTACTTTTTTTGTTTCTATGTACCGGTCATCTCCAGTTGGCGAACGCCATGAAGAACTCGCTGCCAGACAGCGCTCCCGATGAGCCACGGGGGCGCAAGGTGCTCCAGGTGGAGGTGACACCCACCATCAACCGCATCTCCATGTCAGCCATCACCACTGCCTCCATACGACGCCACCGCTGGAAGAGAGAGGGTAAGACCTGCCGTCATGGCTGCAGCCAACAGAGAAGTGGAGCAAGAGAGCTCTCAGTAGATGTGACAGCACAGTAGATTCATTACAATACCTCTTTTTTCTAGTGGCCTCATTATTGATTTAGCTCAGTTGGAGTTATGTTATGCAAGGAAAAGGAGCAGTGTTCTTAGGATTTAAGATGTAACTTACAAATGTTTCCCCCCGATCAGTGGAATGCCACATGAGAGAACTATTTGGTGAGAGAATAACTTTCCTCCTGTTTGTCCATAGCAGTGGGAAGGAATTCTGTTTCTGTGTAAAAAACAATCACACCATGAGCATCGGCCAAATGGTTTGATGTCAGTATGTAATTGTTGTTATGTAGCCTCTCTGTGTTAAAGTGCTTCTGCCGCTCACTGCTCTTATTTTGCTCGTCTTGTCTATCAAGTGTGTGCTGTGCTTTGTGTCACCAGTTACATTTGAGGTGTGCCGTTTATGAGAAACACCCGACAAAATGGTGCCTGTACAGTAGATCCTACTGACTCCATTTTAACCTGGGTGATAAATGGGGCAGTTCATTTATTTAGAACTATCAATTTGTAATCTACGAACCAATTTACAGACAGCTGTTAGACCCGCTGTGCCCAACATGAGGCCCAAATCAGCCGAGCCTCTCCGCCACTAAAGAAACACATTTCCCCGTCTGTGTTGTTGACTCCCAGATTGTTTTGACGACTCAGCCGCTGCAGAGTTGAGCCACATCGTCAATCCTCCTAGCTACAACAAGCACCACCACCGGCATCAGCATCAGCACACTCCCCGGGACCCCGCAACCAAAGAGGAGAGAGAAGGGCGGCCTCACAGCCACCACAGCAGCAGCGGCATCATTCCCCCCATCACATTTGAGGGTAGGGGACAGGGGCAGACTCTCAGAGCAGAGAGGGTCTCAGGAGGAGGTGCCGCTTCGATCTGTATCTCCCCAACCCTCCTCCTGCTCCTTCCTCTCCTCCTCCATCAAATTGAGGGAGTTAACCTCTGCCGTACCCATATTGGCCGCCTCTTCACTTCCCCAGAGTATACTAACTCATCCAGTCTAAAAGACTCTCTGCCAACAACCCCTCTACTACTAGACCACTGCTATTTTTAGTCTAATCCAAGAATGGAAGAGTCGCTTATTCTGGGTTTGAAGGAAGTGTGGCCATTTTGCATGGGCCTGCCATCATGTCATACCTGCTCTTTTTCTTCGTCATGCCTCCAATATACTTCCGACTGCTGCCCTTGTCACTCACTGAGCATGATATGTGCCCGGCCTGCTGCTTGCCTTATTACTCTGAGCTTTTTCAACCCTCCTTGCCTGATAATTTGTTAGTATTAACAGGGAAAATACACACATTTTTACAAAACTGGCACAGAGCAACTGGCATCTTGTGTAGTGCCATCGCGCGTTGGGTCAATCAGGCCAGCAGCAACCATCTGCTGCTGTCATTCGGCAGTTTTTCAGTTCAGCAGCTTTTATTGTATGCTAACTTTTTTGTCCTTCCTCGTTTGTTTTCTTCAGCTCAGTGAGTGGGAAGGAACACTTCTTCATGCATGCGCACGCTACGGCAAGCTTTGAAAAATGTAACCCTGGAACACTAACATCTCAAACGACAAGGCCAATAGAGCAGACTAAATATCGTCAAGGTTAACAAATCCAATAGTTTTAACAAAAGCTACTTCACTGCCAGAACCCGTCAGGTTTATGGCCCATTTTGTCTTGTTGAATGTGTGTCCATTTCTCTGTGTGGGTGCTCTATGTTTTAGTCTTGATCACTGAGTGTCTGTGCAATTACTGGACATTCTGTTGCAAATAGTAATACCAACCGTAACACATTTATTTTGGATGGGGCTGCATTGCAATGATATTAGAAATTACCAAACTAATGGATTTGCATGTTTAATCCTATTGACTACAAATTGAATTAGCATCACAACCTTTCTCCATGATGTACCAGACTTTCTTTGATTATAAGTACTTTAGAAATCTCCCTGGGGGTACATTTAATTAATTTTACTTCCTTCTTTGAAGCCATCAATCAATCAAACTACAGTTAGCCATGGAGTACCACAGGGCTCAGTGCTTGTACCTATTTTGTTCAAATGTATATGCTTCCGTTAGGCTATATTATAAGAAATCACTCACACACTCACATTTTCATTGTTATGCGGATGATACTCAATTATATTTATCTATCAAGCCTGATGAAAAAAAAATCTAAATTATTTTTATTTTTAGTTGGGTTGATTGCCTGATACGTTTTGATTGCCAAAAAGATTTAGTGCAATATATTTAGTGTTTGTTTTGTGTCCATGATGATAAATGCTTTTTAACTCAGATGCCCAAAAGAACCAAGTAGCGCTCGACTACTTCCTTTTTTATTTTAAAACTCAAATCAGCCTTTCATATTTATAAAAGTAGGCACAGTTATTTGACAGTCAGCTCCATACTTTAACATTTATTTGAATGCACCATCAAGGAAGAGTTTTTAAATGCCTCACAAGTCCATTGGCACATTTAAAAATGACACATTAAAACATGAAGGCAAATACATATTTACTGCAGGGGATTATAAAACTTAAACACATCACATACTGAATTGATTGGGGACTAATAACAAGCACATGAATGTGTTGTGCAAACAAAAGTAAACACATTTGAGTTAAAAGGCCTAAACATGCAAATAGACAGGTAAAAAATGTTTTAGCTCTTCATCTAGCATTGGGTTGACTAGTAACGGCCTGCAGGCTGGTCCATTCAGCCCTGTGGCCGGTCAGCTCTAACCGGAGTGCTATTGATCTGATGAGGTGTGCGACTCGCCTCGGTGCTCTCCACAGATTAGCAGGCTCCCTCTGACCGCTGGGCCCGTGCTGCAGGAGGAACGAGGGAGAGCATGTGTCTTCTCCTTATGTTATGTGCATGTCAGTCCAGACCTTTTTCTTCTCTGTTTCTCCATTTCTCTTCCGGTGCTGCCTGTGATTCCCTGTGGTCTAATTTTGCTTGTCCCAACGATGCATGACGGAGACAGACGGCTGATCCTGTGTCTTAACAAGCTTTACCCTGCATATTGTATGTCAATAACGTGCCTTTTTTCTAAATCAATTTATCATCTTTTTCCATTTTCAGCTTTCAAACAATGCTGGACTATTAACGTTGTTCTGTTTAGATGCTTCTATAACAATATTGTGCCTTTTGTATCAGTTATCTCCAGAGATCATTCTTATTTTATACTGAACATAACGTGTTATGCTAGACTTATCGGGCAGGTTATTGAGCTCCCACCTTTCCTAAACAAACAGCTGGTCAGATTTAAGTCGATCTGAATGACATCAGATGATCAAAGCTGAAGGTCATTGTGTAGCGTATTGAGCCGTTTGGTGAATGATCCCTCATTATGCACCAGCTAATGAAGCAGCATTCTCTGTTGAGTGTTGGCCTGCTAAAGGCTATTCATTTATTCTGCACTGAATATAAAATCTCTTAACATTGTAAGTAGGGCTGCACAATATTGGAAAAAACTGACATTGCGATTTTTTCCGCCCCTGCGATATATATTGCGATATGAAAACATACAGGAATTGAAGAAAAGACAGTTTTTTTTCACGCAAACCATCCTTTCTTGAACTTTAATGCTATACAATTGGTATTTTTTTAATTATATTTAACCGGATGAAGGATTTAAGTCACTGACGTCTGGATCTTAAGTTATCAGAGCAACAAGCTGAGCTAGCTCGGTTAGCAGCGCCGAACTGCCCTGGAGAAACACATGAAACGACTTTATTCAGTGTTTTTACCTTTAATCACCCGGTCCGTTTGCTTTGGAGATTTGATTGTGATTGGTGGTTTGCTGTGCATGCAGAGCCTGCATGTCACTCACTCAAGTACCCCTGACATGAGAGCCGCGCAAGTTGTCCTTTAGTAGCAAGCAGCAAAATAATTGTAACATGACATGTTTGAGTTAATTTGCCTACTTAATATCGCAAGTATTTACATTGCATTTAGCTGCAAGTCCTAAACATTTTTTTTTTAAATTGCACGTCCTGCGATGTGAATATCGCAATTATCGTCATGACACGATATATCGTGCAGCCCTAATTGTAAGGCTTGTTGCATAGATTAAGCGCAGTTTGTTGCAGGCAATTTTACATCACTTTTAACTAATATCATCAGCTATGGAGCTTTCTATGGATTAAGGTGACATTTTGTCTATATTCTGAATTATAGCACTAGAGTAAAAAATGTTTTAAGTGTTTTTGCCTGTTGCTTGCAGAAACTGTGTCAATACTTATTTTTCCTTTTTTTTTAATGAATTTGTGCCGCAGACTTTAGGGCAATAGGATTTAAAGTTTTATTCACACTCAGATTTGACTTGTCACCATGACTCTAGTCCTTGCTCACCTTTCTGTCTGTCTATCATGCTTTATTTCTGTCTGTGTTCGTGCGTGTTCATGTGCAGATGCTGATGGATTGAGCGGCGGGGAAGATTCCTTCAATGTCAACGACCCAGACGAGGGTTTCTCCTCCGGAGCGTCCAACAGCAGTCAGCCCAGCGGCACCAAGGCGGGCGTCGGGCAGAGGGGGGGCAGCCTGAACAGCAGCAGCAGCAGCATCAAGAAAGCCATCACGGCCCGGCTGTCCCGGGACAAGGAGAGGGAGCGTGAGAAGGAACGGGAGAAGGAGCGTGAGAAGGAACGGGAGAGGGAGCGAGAGAGGGAGGCAGAGAGGGAGCGAGAGAGGGAGGCAGAAAAACAGGCAGAGTTGTCAGCGGATCACCAGGCTGCCGTGCTGAGGCACCAACAGAGGCAGCCGTCGCCACCAGCCAGCATCCAATTGGATGCCATCCAGCTGAGCCCCAGAAAGAAGCACCTGAGCTTCCCAGCGGGGCCCACGCTGGTGCGGACTGGCAGCACCTCCTCCAGCAAGTCCTTTGACTGCATGAATTTCAACCTGAACGGAGGCGATGACGAGCGAGAGAAGGCGGCGGGGGGCTCTGACAGAGAGCAAGGGCTTCCAGAGGGAGGCGCCCACCGCCACTCCACCATCAGCCTGAAGGAGGAGCACCTCGTCAGGCCAGAGGACGCCCAGGACCTCCTGTCCACTGGAGCTCCTCTCACCAAGCAGTCCCGCTCCCCCAGTTTCAACATGCAGATCATATCACAGGTCTAACATGTAGTGCAGGGCATGGTGTGTGTGTACACACACACACACACACACACACACACACACACACACACACACACACACACACACACACACACACAATACCTGCTCATAACACTCATCCTCATGCAGTTTTTCTCTGCAACTCTTTCCAACCCTACTGTGACAACTTCTGTCTACCTATCTGTGTTAGTGTGTGTGTGTGTGTGTGTGTGTGTGTGTGTGCTCAAGAGTTGTCTCCACCTCCATTGCAATTGTGACCTGCAGTTGCTGTTGGTGGGTTTAGCGTGACTGAAAATGCAACAGTAGAAAAGTAGTAAACGTCGACTGCTGTAACTACAGCCCAGCATGTCACTGCATCCTCCCGTCTGACCAATCATTCCACACAGAAACTCCCAGAAACCAGGAAACGAGAGAAAACACGCTAAGGATGCCAAGCTAGCTGTAGAAGATAAATATGGAAATCAGATTATTTTGAGTTTCTGACTGAATCAGACAAAAATTTATCAGCAATAACACTTAGAGTCGCTCATGTGGAGAAGAGTGATTAGTGCTCTTTCTCTTCATTCCTTCCCTTTCATTCCCGGGCTCACGTGCAATCGTTCTTGCTGATTATCTTCCTTGCTAAATGCTGTTTTTTTTAAATAATAAGGCATAAATGTTTTTCTTTTAAATCACAATCCAAAGAAGAAAGCATTTGTTTGACAATGATTTGATGGAAATCAGTCAGACCCAAGGGATTCTCCAGTTTTCATCCCATGAACTTCCTTTTTAATTTGTAATTAGAATATTCTCATTTTACCTTTTTGTTATAACCAAAAACTGTAAAGTGGTAAAGGTTTGTCTTGCCCCAGGCTTTTAACTGGACAAATCTGAAGAAACACTACCGTGCAGCTACAAGAGGAAAGCAACTTGTGACTTAAATTGAAAATCAGAAGCTGAATCTTGTGGAAGAACTGGATGAAAACATTGTGCAGTGACAGTGCAGGTTTGAGACTGAAGCTAAGAGACACCGGCTGTATTTAATATGGGATTATTATGATGGTCCAAACCATTTAATGGGTCCTTCCAATTCAAAGCTCTTGTAGGTGTTTGGCCTGTGTGTGGTGTCTCCGGTGACGTACTGCCCTCTTGAGGCTTGCACGAGTCGCTGCGCATCATCAGCAGTCACCATGACGATTACGTTTTGTGCTCTGATTGGATGCTCATGAAACATTTTGTTCTACCTCATTGTGTGTTCACCCTGCCACCAGACACCTGTCTCCCAATCAGATGCACGATGAAAAGGTTTGAACGTTTAGGTTGGAGTAAATAGTGGGGACCAAACTGGCTCACACGTGTCCGTGTAAGGAGTTGTGGAAATCTCAGCTTTGCATTTCAGTTCAGTCGCACCATGCACATCACGTAGCTGCAAAACACAACTGTCTTCAGGTTTTCTGTTATATATCAAACACCCACATCAGGAATAACCTGATTATTTGAATTCCCTAGAAATGTCCTCCTTTTTCAATTGTTTTAATGTAAAAGTGCACTTTTTTTAAATCCTCATGTGCACGGAGTTGGATCTTCTCTGCTGTTAAATGCCTGCATCTGCGCACAGTGCTAGCTAGCCTTCTGTAGTGCTCCCTGCCAGGCTGAGTGATTTGAACACGGCGTGCTTGTCTGCATGTTTAGTGCCCTGCAAAGCACTGCTGTTTCAGATGCGAGAAACAGCCAGCGAGCCAAACCCAAGTCTTGTCCCTGTCTTTGCCAGATGTGCCAATACACATCCTCTCCTTAAGGAAATTATGCTTTGCTTGTCTTAATTTAAAAACTATTGCCTATTCTTTTATTGTTTACTTGTGCTATTTCAAAGTTTATGGACACAAAAAAAGGGTGTTTGGCTCAACATGCCCTGAGATGCAGCTTCACCTTTTTTGCCATGGGTTTCCTCTTCACTCATCGAAGGTGTGTGCGCCACACTGCACTCTCACTGTCATCACTATTTGCTGTTCATATGTAAAAGCAGTATATTATGTGTCTGTGTGCCGTAGATGTCAGCTGTTGTATTGCATTTTCCCCCATGTCTTGCGCACGTGCTTGTTTAAAATGAGGATGAATGATTAATGTATATTAAAGTCAGTTCAGTCTGCAGTGAAAAACCCCACACACTCATGCTCCCGCTGTGCTGGAAAACCTCCACCGTTGCTGCTCCTAGTCCAGAGTGAGTCTTGTGTGCGCTTTAGCCTTATACATTTCAGGTCAAAGAGCCTCGATGGTGGGCTCTTTGGCCTCACATGCTCCTCCTGTGGACTGTGGAGGATGAAGAGAGGAGTGCAGCTACAGTTCACACTCCCCCGGTCTGTCTGCTGTCACCCCTGTGCTGTGAGGCTCTCAACAAGCTGTGTTCCCATTTGCTGTATTTTGCTGTGAGTTGAGTGGCACCTTTTTTGCTGTTTTTAAAACTGGTGACGTGGTCATGTCATTAATATGAGTGCCCCTTACCGAGGTTACCAGCAGCAATGTTGGTACTGTTTGTCGATTTACTGTAGAGTTACGAATAGATGAATATCCTTATGTTTCCGGTGTTCTTTGCATGTGATCAGGTCAGGAAATGAACACTAGCTGGTGAATATTAATACAACTTGACTGAGGCTGTACAATTTTCATTTTGGTTGAATAATAACCCCAGAAAGGTCCACTTACATTTCAAAAAAAGTCTTAAAAGGTTCAATCTGTACTTGTCAGCCACTGTGAAGAGAGTTCATTTCCTGTCCTGCATGTGATAACTGGGCTTTGTTTTCATAAAGTTTAATGCACTTTAATCCATCCACCTCTCTCCTCAGATAGTTATTGAAATGATATATATAGATGTGCAAAATGTGTATACACTCAATGCAGGGTTTTAGTCTCTTTAAAGTAGTACTTCTATGTGATGTCACATTCAACACAATGCTATTTTTGTTAGAGTCTAAGGGTACAGCTATTTATTATTGTTTCTTTTCAAAACCAAAAAAAAATGTAACGGAGGGTCTGGAAGGTCTCAGGAGATTATCAAAAAGCCACATTTTAAAAATGGCAGCACCAACATTTCTGTTCTTGAAGTCGGAATTGATTCTATGCAACATTTTTTCCCATTTTTTGTTTTGTTTTTACCGGCTGTCACTGATCCGTGTTGGGTGGTACAGGGCAGAGGCACTTAAGCTGATTTTTCAAGGAGAAAGTCCTCAACAGCTTTCTGTGTTTTTACCCTGTTGTGGCGCTTCAGAGCGCAGGACCTCTCGTGGGTGAAATAAGAGGACCATCCATTTGTCATCTGACTGCCCTTGCAGACAGAAAGCCACATCATCGGGACTTTTTGGTGCATGTCGAGCCCTTCTGTCAGTTTGCTGCTCTGTGGCTCAAAGACGTCAGCTGGTGTTTGAAATCTAAACAGATTATCAAAGATGAATCTAATCTAAATGCTTCGAGGGAAGCTGCTGGACGACGTGATAACACTGTACTATTGATGTTGTATAAATGGAGAGAAAGACTTATTTTAAATCTTGTAAATAGAAAATGTACAAAGGTGAAAGCAAGATAAATATAAAAAACTGAAGATCATTCTGAGATGTAGAGAAAAAGTAATCTGTATATTGTTGAATAAATATTGTGCCGTAAAGGATATTTAAGCGTCTGCCTGTTTTTGTATGTGGAAGTGGTTAAATATAATTACTGCTCATCATAGTCATCACTAAGCAATTGCTCTCAGTTTAGTTTCAACAAACTTTAACTTGGTGACTGATCAAAAATGTCAAAGGGTTGAGAAATAAAGACTTTCTTACAGACCTAAAGTCAGAATTCAAACAGTTGTTAATGTTTCTTACCAATAGCTAGACAATATATAGTGAATAAGCTAGAATGATAAACAAACGAAAAATACAAAACGTGTCTGGTTCCCTTTTTTTTAAAGTGAGGTTTGCTTTTTTGTCTACTTGGATTATAAACAATTATGACATTATTTATTTACCTATAAATTAGGGAATAATCAACATTTTCATTCAAAACAATAGATGATTGCAACCCATGTAATAATATTGGCATAATTGAAAATAAATCCGAAGTGAGAACCAGAAGAATCATGTCATTCATATTAATCAATTAAATGTAATTGTTACTGTTTTCAAAGTCAATCTGATAGTTTATTTTTGGTAATATATACACTGAGTAAGTAGACTCAAATACTTCACTGCAGAAATACCTGTGATCAGTGGTGATGTGCTGACACCTAGTGGTTGTAATGCAAAACAACATACAATTTCAAGGTAAATTAGAACCTACGAATGAAATTATTCTTGCTAGTTATGAAAAAATGATTAATATCACAGTTGACTCTGCTGTGAATTACCACTGTATCCGTCACTCTTACTGTGGATGTTGAATTCTAGCAGAAAAAGTCAATCATTTTAATATTTGTATTGTATCAGGTGTTGTTACAAAGCCACTTCCCCCTTAAACATGTAATGAACAACAAACTGCCTGCTCCACCTCTGACCCCTTTTACTAGAACATACTTCAGCTTTTACAACAGGGGCTTAACTTAATGGAGTCAAACATTACATTTAAAAAAGACTGACTTATTCAGCTCTAAAGTATAGCCTAGAAGAGAATTTCCAAAATAGTGTTTCTAGTAGAGAATTCATTTTGAAGAGGTCACAAGATACTTTTTTTTGCTTCAAAACCTCCATATGAACATGTAAGAAGTAAATGACAACTGGGCATAGGGCCTACTTCATCTGATGATGAATAACATGGGCTACAATTAAAGGTGCAAGAGCTCTACTAAAGAACATTGTGGTAAGATTGGTTGTTTGAATTCTCAAATGCATAGCAAATTATTAAAACAACAAACCAGCTGATTTATTATAGTTAATTTGCTACTAAACTAGAACCATGCTATCTGTTAACCTCCTGAAGCTAAAACCAGTTAGCATTGTGTTAACCACGATGGTTTCGCCTGCTAGCATGCTAACATTAGCAGTAAAGTGAGCACTAAACACCTTGACAACCATGACAAAGTTGTGTGAACAGCTACTAAATTCAACTTTTACAGGATTGTTAAATGAACTGCTGTTTCCATTGACATGAATGAGCTCCACTTTGTTCTAAATACTTTTTTCAAAACAAGTTGACTGGTTATTACTGATTAACTGCTAAAAACAATCAATTATCATACTTGCTAAAAAAGGTTCATGGACACTTGTCCCTTTTTGTACTGAATTAACAGCACTGTTTACCTACAATTGTAATCCATAAATACCTGAACTGACAGGCACACAAACTATTAAACAAAGACACTGTGTTAGTTTGAATGAATGACAACAATAGTATAGCTACTTAGAGCCAATCAGAGCTCCACACAGTAACAAGATCCCTAGTTGAACACTCTGGAGGTGTCACCTGGTAACCATAGGCTCTAACGCCTGGCAAAGGACATGAGACAAACCACTTCACACACCTGAAAGTGTGTGTTTTGTTAAGTTAGACACCAGAAACTTCATGTTGGTTCTTCTATCATTTATCCAACTGGAAGGAGGACCAGACGGCAATAAAATGGGTAATGTTAACTGTGTCAATTATACCTATAATGTTTATTTTAACCAATGTTTGCAAAATGAGTGATGAAAACGGTGACTGAAATCAGTATCAGAATACCTTTATTAGTCCCACAGAGAGGACATTTACATTGAAATGTGTGCACATCATTCTCAAACATGTCAATACAAATGTGCTCATGTTTTTTAATCTATAGGCCTATAACACTCCTTCAGAATCAGAATACCTTTATTATACAGAGGGGAAATGTACATTGTTACAGCAGAAAAGAGCCAAAGACAGCTTAATGTCTTTTTAGTTTGGTTGTAATGTGAGGACTGACTGGACAGCAGATTGAGCAGAAGAGGTTAATATGGTTTTGAGAGGGTGGAGCCATTAAATAGTGCAACATAACAAGGCTTTCACAGCCTCTCCACACAGTTGACATCATAAAGGATGTACTGTCTCTGCAGGATGTGATGACTGAATCAACGGGTTAGTGTAGACTTTAAATATGTGGAATTAGGTGTAGGTTCTTAATTTGAGCTGCGATTCCAGGGGCCTGGGTGGAGGAAGTTGAGAGAATGCAGGTCACATGACAGTAAGATAAAGGCTTATGTCAGAATACTAAAGTCCCAGGCTCTCCAAGTGTTATAGATTAGGAACCATCAACTGACAAGCTGCACACTCTGGCACCTGTCTCTTCAGACTTCCACCAAAAGAAGCTCTTCTTCCAAGAGGATGATTTCAGCTAAACATTTTTCTTTTACTTCCTCAGAAATGCTGTCTAAATTAGAGAATAAGGTTCACCCACAGCAAATGATCCCGGAGCTGCGGAAAAACAATAAATATGACATGAACCGGATGGTTAGTCGAATGAAAAAGGTGAGTGTTTGCATGTCACATTACTATATATTATTGATTTATTTATATGTAAGCAGTATTTTAATGTTGATGTTGGTGAAGCATGATGGTATACTAACACATTTGATGAATTTTAATAATGATAGTTATTTAATATGATAATATGTTTTTATGTGAAATCGTTATCTGAAAAATAACTGGTGTAGTAGAGAGGACAATATATCACATAGTGGAATAGATGTCAACTAAATGAAAATAAAAAGACTCAAAGTATCAAACCTCAAATATGTACTTTCCAATGCTGGATCATTTTAAGTTACAATAAGTAAGTTTACAATAACAACGCATCTTTTTTTTTACTGTGATTAACAATCTACAACATTTATAATTTTTTTATTTCTAAATTGGGTGTGTAATTAATCTGCTCACAGAAATGCGGTATCTATTGATCCAGAGCTGGCACAGGGCTACTTTCTGTCCCGTTTGTTTAGTCGGGTTTCAGCAGCCTGCTCTTCTTTATCTCCGCTCTGACATCACTGATGCAGTGCTGAGCGCGTCCAGCACCCACAGTCCTGACTGCAGAGCCTCCTCTCTCCTGTCAGGCTGTCAGCTGAGGCAAATCTGTGAAGCTTGGCCCCCCCCATGTTGCATCCAGGATGGAGGACGCTGAGGTGGAGGGACATCCGGTTCATTCTCTGGCGATCAGCACAGCTAGACCCACTAAGCATCTCTCTCCCTCCCCTTCTTTCCAGCGCTGCGCCTTTACCTCCTGGACCAGGGAGAACATACACAAGAAGGAATGCTGCTTCTATGAAAAGGGTGTCAGGTAGGATCAGCTGCTCTGTACTCTGGTGGTGATGAAAGTCTTTAAACTGACCTTGCTATTTGCTGCTGCTGCTCAGTACAGACATACTGCAGCATCTCTGTTGTGCGTATGTGAGAGGAGGCGTTGCCTTTAACCACCCTGAGGGCAGTTGTGTATTGCTATGTTAACTTAATCTGTCAGTTGTCAAAAAGTGCTTCTGCATGGAGACATTACAAGCATTCACTCTCGTTTCTCCGTTAGAGAGGACATATGTAAGTGCGGCTACTCAAAAATCGAACATAATGATGAAGCCATCAAACCAGAGGACTTCACTGGCGAATCATGGCACAAACACAGACATCTCCACGAAGTGCCCACAGACGCTTTTGGGGACATCAGCTTTGGTGGTTTGGGACAAAAGACGGGCAAGGTGAAACTATCCTATCTTTCCACTTTAATAAACTTACATGTGTATGCTTGCCTGTTTGTCTTAATTCTCGCCTTTTTGTCTGTGTTTCATTCTCAGTATATGCGAGTGTCAACAGACACCAACCCAGAAATCCTGTACCAGTTACTGACTGAACAGTGGAGACTGTCCCCCCCCCAACCTGCTGATCTCAGTGACCGGGGGGGCTAAAAACTTCTACCTGAAGGCTCGTCTAAACAACATGTTCAACAGAGGTCTTATCAAAGTGGCCCAGACAACAGGTGAGCCTCATATGTAAAGGGCTACCAATGATTAGCCAGAATATCTGTGAATGTATGTGTTTTATGAACATGTGTAGTTATGGAGTTTGGGCGTATGCCTGTGATAAAATATGCTGAATATGCTGAATATGACTGAAAGGTTCACTCCTCCTGCCCAAACTAGTGCTATTAAAAGTGCAGTTATCTCCTTCACTAATCTTACTGACAGTTTACCATTTCATGCTGCTTAGGTTTAACTTGATTTTAAATGTATAGTGTGTCTACTCCTGTATGTGAAAACTCACTAGAACAGTCTGTAGCAATGCAGCAAAACAAGAAAAACGAATTAGAATTTATATGAAAAATATTGCTCTTACTTTAGTTTATTTTGCTTTACCTTCATTAGTCTCATCTGACATCTATATATATTTACATTTAGGCTAACAATGCAAACATTTGGCAATTTCTGCACAGTATTTGGTCCTTGTCCACATACTTTGGTGTCCTGTTTCCTGGTTTGGCCCAGGCCTCTTAGGGACATTTGAATGCTTCTGCAAAGGTTAAATGGGACCCATGTTGTATTTAGGAGCATGGATCATCACCGGTGGTACGCACACAGGTGTGATGAAGCATGTAGGGAAGGCTGTGAGGGACTACGCCCTCAGCAGCTCCACGCAGGGCCAGATTGTGGCTATCGGAGTGGCAACGTGGGGAACCATTCACAACAGGGACGCTTTGGCGCATCCAGAGGTAAGAAAAAACACAATCACACATTTTTACTTTGGCGAGAATCATCACCTGCAAAGCATATCTGTTGTTTTTCCTGCCTCTCTTTCTCCTTTTCCTTTTCTTCTCGTCTGCAGGGTTGTTTCCCAGCCCATTATGAGCTGGACATCAAGGGCCAGGGTCGACTCTCCTGCCTCGATAACAACCACACCCACTTCCTGCTGGTGGACGATGGGACCCAGGGAAATTATGGAGTGGAGATTGAGCTGCGTAGCTGTCTGGAGAAATGCATCTCCGGGAAACGTCTTGGAAACAAAGGTTACAAATAACTGATGTAGCATCTGCAAAGGCATCAAGACAACATCTCAAATCTGATTGTATTCTGTGCTGCTTTTAATATTGATTTTCTTAACGTCTAATTTTCAGAAAGTGGCGTGACAATCCCCGTAGTGTGCGTGGTTTTGGATGGAGGACCAGGCACTCTAAACGTGAGTCATCGGTTCTCTCTCTCCCTCTTTCTCAGTGTATCTGACCCTGTCTCGCTCGCTCTAATCTGAATATCTTGTGTTTCTCGTCTCAGACCATCTATAATGCCATGCTGAATGGTACACCATGTGTGATCCTGGAGGGCTCGGGGAGAATAGCCGATGTGATCGCCCAGGTGGCAGCTCTGTCAGTGACCCGGGTCACCATCGCCCTCATCCACCAGTTAATGAAAAAGTTCTTTGACCAAGAGTATGAAAAGTTCCCCGACCTCAGGATCATAGAATGGACCAAGAAGGTAATTGAACAAACTGACAACCTGAATAATTAAATGTCCATGTATGTCTCTGTTACTATCTTAATTTATAATTAGCTACACAAACAGTTAGCAGTAAAAAAACATCTGAAATTTAAGAGAACACAATTCTTTGGGACCTTTGAGCAAAAAGTCAAAAGATCATCATAATCAGTAAGCATTATCCTCTAGAGAAATCATCCAATCAGTGTTGAGACATTTCAGCCTGGATAAAGTGACGCTTTTTAATGTCTGTTATACATAGGTATATAGTCCCAAGCGTGTAAGGAGACTTACAAAGTGTCAGAAAATATAACCCTCTCTCTTTTCCTCCTTACCCACATCTCTAAAAATGGCGGTACAGGGCTGAAATAGATGGGTATGAGTCATGGCTACAATGGTTGATTGTTTGGTATTTTGAGCAAAACACTTCAGACATGTTTTGTGTCTATATGGCCCTATAATATATTGTTCGAATATAGTATAATATGGGACGCCATTAGCTCAATTTAAGTTCCTTTACTGTTTCCTGTTCTCTAACAATAGGGTCTTAAAAACATCAAGGAGCCGGTTTACCTCCCATCTCAGGCTACCAGTTGATTTTAGAATGTAAATTATGAGCCTTATGAGCCCCTAATGTCCTCTTTCAAGGGTCTTCTGGCTGTTCCTTGGTCCAGGTTTGATATGAAACCCTACATATTGTGTACTGTCTCCTTTCTGTGCCAGATTCAGGACATCATCAGGATGCCTCACTTGCTAACCATATTCAGAATTAGCGAGGACAATCACGGGGATGTGGACGTGGCTATTCTTCAAGCGCTACTTAAAGGTAAGGATTTGGTTCTTCCGAAGATGCTCAGCACCAGACTGGAAAGACTGCAGGCATGCAACACGGCATCAAGTTAAAAGGCGATAAGGCTTAGTGCCAAACCAGCTCTTAGCAAGTATAATGTTGCTTCACAGAAGACTAATCCAATGGACTGTGGTATCAAATGTGCCGAGATCCAAAACCGAAACAATTATTTGTGTAGAAATGTTCACTTCAATGGGTTTTCTACACAGACACTGACATTGATAGCCATACTTAATCTGTTCCTAAGAAATAAGCATGATAAGTGTATTGATCCTAATGCTGGTCTGGAGGAAGACCAATGCCCATTAAGAGAAGGCTTAATGCCTATTGGTATAAAAGCATGATGAGCCAAAGTGTACTTAAAGTGATTTCATGTCACTGGACATTCACTGAGCATTCACATCATGATGTCTCAGCATAATAGCTAAGCTGCGTTGTCTGAGGTTTCCATCTCTGGATTAATTCAAATGCATTTCCAGGCAGTTGTCTTGCTCACTCAGCGAGGACAAATTATTATTTTATTGTTGCCACATACAAGTTGTATCTCTGTTTTGGAATAAAGCCTTGCTACCTGCTGCTTTCCTACTTAGTGTTACCCCAGGTTACCACACCAACAATTAGCTGATACATGATTTGATGATCGAGAAAAAAATCTGCGAGTCAAATATCAACACTAGTTTTCAAGTTTGTGCTCAATTTATTGCTTTTCTCACTATATTTCCCCAATATGTTGCTAATAGAACAATATATTTGGGTTTTTGACTGTTTTTCTGACCAAAAAAAAGAACTCTTTGTATATCAACACTGTTGGAAGTTATGGTTTTAATAATTTAACGACAACATATACACTACATTTAATTTTTAAACTGTACAGTAGAGTGCCTTGATTGGATAGAGTGGATGATCCGACTGCAGAGAGACCTTGTAACAAAATGATTTTGTTTCTCCAGCAATCAATCAGTAATTGAGAGTCACATTCTTTGCCTTGTGTCACTATGAATTCTCCACTCAGCCTCGAGGACCAGTGAGTCGCTTGGCACTGAGTCCTGGAAGAGGCAGCTGGAGCTGGCTATAGCCTGGAACCGAGTGGACATAGCTGAGACTGATATCTTCACTGAGGAGAGGCAGTGGAAGGTAGGTTCATATTAGGAAAATATCACTTGTCACCAGCTTGAGTTTCAATAATCAAGGCAAGGCAAGGCAAGTTTATTTATATAGCACTTTTCAACACAAGGCAATTCAAAGTGCTTTACAAAAAATGAAAGACATTAAGAAAATGGCATTTAAAATCAGTCATTAAAAAGAAAAGCTAATAAAATAAACATTAAAAGAAAAAGTACATGGATAAAAGTTACAGTGATATGAATAATAAGATATGAATAGTTCAATTAAAAGCAGCGACAAAAAGAAAAGTCTTCAGCCTGGATTTAAAAGTAGTAAGAGTTGCAGCAGACCTGCAGGTTTCTGGGAGTTTGTTCCAGATATTTGGAGCATAATAACTGAACGCTGCTTTACCATGTTTAGTTCTGACTCTGGGAACAGAAAGCTGACCAGTCCCTGAAGATCTGAGAGATCTGGATGGTTCATAATTTAGCAGGGGGTCAGAAATGTATTTTGGGCCTAAACCATTCAAAGCTTTATAAACCAGCAGCAGTATTTTTGAAATCTATTCTTTGACACACAGGAAGCCAGTGTAAAGACTTCAGAACAGGAGTGATGTGATCCACTTTGTTAGTGTTAGTGAGGACTCGAGCAGCAGCGTTCTGAATTAGCTGCAGCTTTCTAATAGATGTTTTAGTGAGACCTGTGAAGACACCATTGCAGTAGTCCAGTCTACTGAAGATAAAAGCATGGACAAGTTTTTCCAAATCCTGCTGTGACATTAGTCTTTTAATCCTAGATATGTTCTTTAGGTGATAGTAAGGCAAGGCAAGGCAAGTTTATTTATATAGCACTTTTCAACACAAGGTAATTCAAATTGCTTTACAAAAAATGAAAGACATTAAGAAAAAGGCATTTCAAATCAGTCATTAAAAAGAAAAGCTAATAAAATAAACATTAAAAGAAAAAATACATGGATAAAAGTTTCAGTGCAGTCTAAGATATGAATAGTTCAATTAAAAGCAGCGACAAAAAGAAAAGTCTTCAGCCTGGATTTAAAAGTAGTCAGAGTTGCAGCGGACCTGCAGGTTTCTGGTAGTTTGTTCCAGATATTTGGAGCATAATAACTGAACGCTGCTTTACCATGTTTAGTTCTTGACAAGTTTTTCCAAATCCTGCTGTGACATTAGTCTTTTAATCCTAGATATATTCTTTAGGTGATAGTAGGCTGATTTAGTAACTGTTTTAATGTGACTGTTGAATCTCAGGTCAGAGTCCATGACTACACCTAGATTTCTTGCTTTATCTGTTGTTTTGAACATTGCAGACTGAAGCTCAGCGCTAACTTTTATACGTTCTGACTTGGCTCCAAAAACCATTACCTCAGTTTTATCTTTGTTTAATTGGAGAAAGTTCTGACACATCCAGTCATTGATTTGTTCAATGCACTTACTCAGTGTTTGAATTGGAGCATAGTCTCCTGGTGAAATTGTTACGTACATTTGTGTGTCATCTGCATAGCTATGGTAACTTATTTTTTTTGTTTTTCATTATCTGAGCCAGTGGTAGCATGTAGATGTTAAAGAGAAGAGGCCCCAAGATGGAGCCTTGAGGAACCCCACATGTCATATTTGTCAACTCAGATGTGTATTTACCTATAGAAACAAAGTTGTTTCTGTCCTTTAAGTAGGATTCAAACCAATTTAGAACTGTTTCCGAAAGTCCCACCCAGTTTTCCAGTCGGTCTAGTAATATGCTGTGGTCAACAGTGTCAAACGCAGCACTGAGATCTAATAATACTAACACTGAAGTTCTGCCACTGTCTGTGTTTAAGTGGATGTCATTAAAGACCTTTACAAGAGCAGTCTCAGTGCTGTGGTTTGGACGAAATCCTGACTGGAACACATCGAAACAGTTATTTAAATGCAAGAAATTACTCAACTGTTGAAAAACAACTTTTTCAATGATTTTACCTAGAAATGGCAGGTTTGATATGGGCCTGTAATTGTTCATTACTGAAGCATCTAGATTATTCTTTTTTAAGAGCGGTTTAATGACTGCAGTTTTCAGGGCCTGTGGAAAAATACCTGAGTGAAGAGATTTGTTTACTATATGAAGTAGATCTGAGGCCATGCAAGGCAAAACATCTTTAAAAAATCCTGTTGGAATAATATCAAGGCAGCAAGAGGAGGATTTCAGAAGTTGTATAATGTCCTCTAGGTTTTTATCATTAATCTGATGGAATTGTGTCATGGTGTTTGAATTGATGTTAAGTGGACACAGAGACAACACATTTGCTGTTCCTGATGCAGAGGCACTGACTGCTTGTCTGATTTTCTGAATTTTGTCAGTGAAGAAGGAGGCAAAATCATTGCACGCCCTGGTGGATAGAAATTCAGAGGCTACTGACACTGGGGGGTTAGTTAGTCTGTCGACGGTAGCAAACAAGGCACGTGCGTTGTTTTTGGTAATTATGTCAGAGAAGAACGATTGTCGTGCGTTTTTCAATTCCAAATTATAAAGGCCAAGTCTCTCTTTATAGATTTCAAAGTGAACCTGGAGATTTGTTTTTCGCCACCTGCGTTCAGCTTTTCGACATTCTCTTTTTTCTGTTTTCACGCTCATGGCCTTTCTCCATGGAGATATTTTCTTGCCAGACACTTCCTTTACCTTAGTTGGAGCAATGGCATTTATACATTTTTTTATTTTTGAATTAAAATGATCTACTAGCTCATTTACTGAGATGTTAGCAGGGGCAAGTGTGGAAGAAAAATTCTGAGTAAACATTTCCCTAGTATTTTCAGTTAAATATCGCTTTGTGGTTACCTCTTTTTGAACATTTTTGTGAACAAAAATAGAGCTCTCAAAGAAAACACAGGAATGGTCAGAGAGTGCAACATCAGTCACCACAACCTTAGAGATATTCAGACCCTTTGAGATAATTAAGTCCAGAGTGTGCCCCTTATTGTGCGTGGGCTCCGTCACATGCTGAGTCAGTCCATAGCTATCAAGAACACAAAACAGTTATTTTGCCCCTCTGTCCTGGGGGATGTCAACATGGATGTTAAAATCACCAACAATGACTAGACGGTCAAAGTCAATACACACTATAGACAGCAGTTCAGTAAAGTCATCAAAAAAGCTTACACAGTATTTGGGTGGTCTATAGATATTTAGGAACAGAGCTCGAGAGGAGCATTTCAGCTGAAGGGCCACATATTCAAAAGAATCAAAGTTTCCATACGATGTCTTCCTGCATTGAAGGGAATCATTGAACAGAATAGCAACTCCACCTCCTCTCTTATGCATTCTTTCCTGACTCATAAAACTAAAGTTGGGAGGGGTTGATTCGATAAGAACAGCTGCACTGTTATTTTGTTCAATCCAAGTTTCTGTTAAAAACATAAAATCGAGATTGTGCTCAGTGATAAAATCATTGATTAAAAATGTTTTTCCTGCCATAGACCTGACATTTAATAAAGCTAGTTTAAGTTTGTTAAACACACTATCAGTCATGTTTTTTGTAACAAGCTGTGGCTGACATGGAATCACTGCTAAATTAGATAAACTCACACAAACGTTTGAGCGCTTCCTGTATCTAAGATGATTCACCGCTCTTAATCTATTACCTATCAACACAGATATCGGCAAAGCTATAGGCAGGCAGGGCCCCGGCATGTCCTGGAAAGAGTTGAGAGTGCCATACGCCCTTGAGCCTGGACCCAGCAAATATCAGTTTGCAGCGTTTAGTACACACACATCCTTATCAGGCTTCGGAGACTGCAGATGCCCTCTCGAAGGGAGGGGGGGCGGCCGACGCAGGCACGGTGATGGAGACGTGGGAGATGGTGCGGGGGTAGAGGACATGCTGCCAGGGGGGGGAGGTGGTTGACGCAGGCACGGCGATGAAGACGGGGGAGACGGCGCGCGTCTCCGCGGCGATTTTGGTGGGCGTCGCTGAGGAGCGGGGGTAAAGGACATGGTGCCAGCCCTGCGAATCGACTTAGTTTGGTCTTTGAACTCCAGGAAGGAATCGGTGCCAACCCTCTGTATCTCCTTCATGTGTTCAACGATCCCCAGGAGGGTGGGCGAGGGTGAAAGGGTGAACGGAGTATCCTCAAAGGCGTTGACAGGGGGGGGGGGTGACGGGCAGTGGAGACTCCTCCATGTGTCTCCCATAATCAGAACATTCCTCAGGCGGGTGCAGTGATAATTCTTCAGGGTTTTCTGCGCGATGTGTTGTGTCTTTCTCCTGTTTTGATTCCTCTTGCCGCTTGTCCTTGGCAGAGGGAACAGATTGATAACGCAGGCAGTTGAATATGTTAGAGATAAACAATTTCACTCCTGACTTGTTCAGGCAAACTCCATTTGCCTTGAAAAGATGTCTGCGGTCCCAGAAAAAGTTAAAATTGTCAATAAAATGAACAGAATGGTCAGTACAGACAGTTGAAAGCCAGGTGTTCAGTGCAAACAATCTGCTGAATCTCTCCACTCCTCTTCTGACTGGCGGCAGAGGGCCACTGATGAACACCTCTGCATTTAGAGAGCTGGCAGTTTCCAACAAACATTTAAAGTCTTCTTTCAGCACTTCTGATTCTTGTTTCACAACATAATTTGTTCCAATGTGTAGTACCACATTCTTCACAGTCGGATGTTCAGCCCCAATATGCAGGATCTTCTCAGCCAAGTCAGAGACCACATCCTTGGGAAAACAGAGTACTTTGGTGTTGTTCTTATTACACAGACATTTTACATCTCTTACAGCAGAGTCACCCACAATCAGAGTTTCAGGCCCAGTCGTTAGCTTTCCCTCTAGCCTTTTACTTTTGGAGTAGCTATTGGTCCTTACCCTGCTGTGTGAAGAGGACAGGTTATCCAGTTCATCAGATCTCCGGTTCTCGGTCAGCGGAGCGTATCTGTTCTGGATTGGCACACTTGGTGGTTTAGGAGGATTTTTTGTAGTTCTCCCTTTAGCAGCTGTCCACTGCTGTTTCCTAGTATGAATAGGGGTTGAAGAGGCGCTCTTCCTGGGTGATAGTAGGCTGATTTAGTAATTGTTTTAATGTGACTGTTGAAACTCAGGTCAGAGTCCATGACTACACCTAGATTTCTGGCTTTATCTGTTGTTTTGAACATTGCACACTGAAGCTCAGCGCTAACTTTTAAACGTTCTGCCTTGGCTCCAAAAACCATTACCTCAGTTTTACATTTGTTTAATTGGAGAAAGTTCTGACACATCCAGTCATTGATTTGTTCAATGCACTTACTCAGTGTTTGAATTGGAGCATAGTCTCCTGATGAAATTGTTACGTAAATTTGTGTGTCATCTGCATAGCTATGGTAACTTATTTTTGTTGTTTTTCATTATCTGAGCCAGTGGTAGCATATAAAGAGAAGAGGCCCCAGGATGGAGCCTTGAGGTACCCCACATGTCATATTTGTCAACTCAGATGTGTATTTACCTATAGAAACAAAGTTGTTTCTGTTCTTTAAGTAGGATTAAAACCAATTTAGAACTGTTTCCGAAAGTCCCACCCAGTTTTCCAGTCGGTCTAGTAATATGCTGTGGTCAACAGTGTCAAACGCAGCAGAATACTAACACTGAAGTTCTGCCACTGTCTGTGTTTAAGTGGATGTCATTGAAGACCTTTACAAGAGCAGTCTAAGTGCTGTAGTTTGGACGAAAGCCTGACTGGAACACATCCAAACAGTTATTTAAATGCAAGAAGTTACTCAACTGTTGAAAAACAACTTTTTCAATGATTTTACCTATAAATGGCAGGTTTGATATGGGCCTGTAATTGTTCATTACTGAAGCATCTAGATTATTCTTTTTTAAGAGTGGTTTAATGACTGCAGTTTTCAGGGCCTGTGGAAAAATACCTGAGTGAAGAGATTTGTTTACTATGTAAAGTAGATCTTGGTGTCCTGTTTTGAAAAAGAAAAAAAACATCTTTGAAAAATCCTGTTGGAATAATATCAAGGCAGCAAGAGGAGGATTTCAGAAGTTGAATAATGTCCTCCAGGTTTTTATCATTAATCTGATGGAATTGTGTCATGATGTCTGAATTGATATTAGGTGGACATAGGGACAACACATTTGCTGTACCTGATGCAGAGGCACTGACTGCTTGTCTGATTTTCTGAATTTTGTCAGTGAAAAAGGAGGCAAAAACATTGCACGCCCTGGTGGATAGAAATTCAGAGGCTACTGACACTGGGGGGTTAGTTAGTCTGTCGACGGTAGCAAACAAGGCACGTGCGTTGTTTTTGGTAATGATGTCAGAGAAGAAAGACTGTTGTGCGTTTTTCAATTCCAAATTATAAAGGCCAAGTCTCTCTTTATAGATTTCAAAGTGAACCTGGAGATTTGTTTTTCGCCACCTGCATTCAGCTTTTCGACACTCTCTTTTTTCTGTTCTCACGGTCATGGCCTTTCTCCATGGAGATATTTTCTTGCCAGACACTTCCTTTACCTTAGTTGGAGCAATGGCATCTATAACATTTTGTGGTAGGCATGGTGATGAAGCCGGGGGAGATGGTGCGCGTCTCTGCTTCGGTGATTTTGGTGGGCGTCGTTGAGGAGCGGGGCTAAAGGACATGCTGCCAACCCTGCGCATCGCCTTCATGCGGTCATCGAACTCCAGGGGGGAGGGCGAGGGTGAAAGGGTGAGCGGAGAGTAGAGAGAGCTGGGGGATGAATGAAGAGTATCCTCAAAGGCGTTGACAGGGGGGTGACGGGCAGTGGAGACTCCTCCATTTGTGTCATAGGTCTCCCATAATCAGAACATTCCTCAGGCGGGTGCAGTGATACTTCTTCATGGTTTTCTGCACGATGTGTTGTGTCTTTCTCCTGTTTTCAGGATACATTTATTTGTTATCCTTGCAAGAATGGAAGTAGTCATCACATACAGAGCATATGGGACAACTACTTCCCCGAACAGTGTCCTTCAGATGATTTATATACAAGAGAGGGTGTTATTCAGTCACAAGATACATGAATACCGGTTCAAAGCAGTATTCTATGCTTAGTTCAGATTAGCTAAGACGGCTAAGACCCACATGAGCAATACACATGACAGTCATATGTCTATCTCCATAGAGGCTGAATCATCATGTTAATCTTACATAGCTATCATACTGTATGCCTAAAACAGTGTGTCCTGACGCTCTTCTAATCTAGGTGATCATACATCCGGTTACGTACACAGCTACGTAGGTCCTTTGTTATCATGGGCTACTCTGATATTGGAAGAGTACATTCTGTATTTTCCCAACATATAGTATCATAAAAGATAGTTTTTTTCCCATGTTGCTATCCAAGTCACTTTACATAATTGTCCAATTCTGAGCAACATTCCCTGCTGATGATGACGCATTAAAGCGGAAGTGTGTTTCTCTGTGTTCTCCTGCCTTGCTCCCATGCAGTCCAGTGACCTCCACTGGGCCATGTTCTCGGCCCTGGTTGGCAACAAGCCTGAGTTTGTGAGTCTACTGCTGGAGAACGGCGTGAGTCTGAGGGACTTCCTGCAGGACGAGGAGACCCTGTGTGAGCTTTACAAACAGCTGCCATCCTGCATGTTCCTCCGCAAGCTGGCCAAGCGGGTCCACAACGCTCACAGGAAGAAGGCGTTCGGCATGAGGCATCGGGTTCGATCGGGACAAGGAGAAATGGTCTCCTTGACTCATGTGTCTGATGAGGTGCGCCGCCTGCTGGGCAGCTTCACCCAGGCCCTCTACCTTCCCTCCAACATGACGTACCACTTCAACATGTGTCTGGAAGATACGTCAGCATCAGTGAGTGATTATTGTTATCTAAAATTTAATTGAGTTTAACACTGAAAAATAGGTGTTTCTTACAAGTTGCTGAGGTCATGTCCTCTCTATTCACCCTGATAACAGTGTTTTATTGCACTGCAAGGATTTTAATTCTGTTATTAGAATACAAAGAAAAGGGGGGTAACAAATCAAGGTCTACGGACTGAAATGTTGTGTCATTAAAACAATTCATGCTTCTCTTGTCTTGCCTTGACACTCCTGTTTACAATAACATTGAAGATTTGATTCTATTAGTTAAAAAAATTCGAGACGTTTAAAAAACTTAAAGTCCAACAAAAGTGTTATTCCTCCAGAAAAGTCATCAGGGAGTTAGATCTTCACTTTGGGATGTTACATTTACAGGAGGTATAATAAAACATTTAGCTAAGAAATCGATATTGGTGCTTTGAGAGGCCTTGGGAGGATTTGGACTCAAGATATTTCCTAACCCTTCAAGCAGGTTGTTAATGCAACATATTCCTTCCCTTTTTATCTAGCTGTCTAAAAACTCGACATCTTCTCAAGCTCCGCTAAAGGAGGACAGTCCTGACGCGCAGAGGGACCCGGGCAGAGACATTTTCCTGTGGGCTGTCGTCCAGAACAATAGGGAGCTGGCTGAGATCGCCTGGGAGCAGGTGATCAAACACACATACAGACAAAGTTTTAGAAAAACAATAGATAAATAACTGTGTATCTGTATGTGCGCAGTGTACAGACTGCATGTCGGCTGCGCTGGCCGCCAGTAAGATCCTGAAGACGATGTCAGCTGAAGGAATGGATGCGGACAAGGCGGAAGACATGAAGAAGCTCGCCAATCACTATGAGAAACACGCCATTGGTATAACACTGCAGACATGATGAGTGGCTTGAATAAAGATGTTACAAGTTGAGCATGTGTCTGCTTTTGTGTGTGTTTCCCAGGTGTGTTCAATGAGTGCCACAACTGGGACGAAGAGCGGGCTCAGAAGCTGTTGTTTCGTGCGTCTCCGTCTTGGGGAAGGACGACGTGCCTCAGGCTGGCTCTGGAGGCAGACGATAAAAGCTTTGTAGCTCAGTCTGGAGTTCAGGTACACTTTTATAAGGGATTTATATATATTCTTTCAACCGTGTCTTAAAATCTTAAGACTCCTACCTTTTGTTTGCACTGTTACGTAGAAGATTAAAATGCACATCAACACACTTTGTTGAACACAAAACTGGTTTGAATCTAATTATTTTGAACAAGAAATTGGTATAGGGTAACCATGAAATACACTAAAACAATAAATACAAAACACACCACCAAAATTGCATTTAACCAGACCTAAAATACAAAATCAAAGAAATGCATCCTAATGAACAGAAATACACAACTTATATCAACAGACCTATTAAAAAATACTTTATAGATGTAATAAAACATAAAAGCTTGATACCAAGTCATATAAACAGATTCATACACAAACCCAAAACACACAATTTATACAAGCAGACCCGTTAAAGAAGTACTTTATCGATATATAACCAAATCTACAAAGAGTATTAAAACATGTAAATATTTTCAAAAGAGAGAAAAAAAGAAAAGCTTGATACTACTTCATATACACAAATTACTTGTGTATTGACTGTGTTTCAGGGTAATTACACTAATTACACACTTAATGCTGATTTTAATTAACAGAAATAGAACAAACAAAAACCACAACAATACATAACTGACTACAACATGTTTTAGAGTAGAACACGTTGAAAAACTGTGATCAGTGATTTAAACCTGATGAAAGAGACTTTAATTAAACACCCAGATATGGTTCATGTCTGATAACATATCTGTCCTGAAGGCCTTCCTGACACAGATCTGGTGCGGTGAGCTTTCAGTGGACAACCCGGTGTGGAGGGTGCTCCTCTGCATGGTCTTCTTCCCTCTGATCTACACCGGCTTCCTGGTTTACAGGTGAGTCCTAACCATAGACTGTATATATATTTATATATATATATATATATATATATATATATATATATATATAAATTCCTAACATGTGAAACGGAAAGTGCAGTCCTCCTGTCAATGATGGTTCTGCTTATTCCAACAACAACCAAGACATCTAAGCTTCATTATGTTCCCATATTAACCTGAGATAATAATGCAGTGGTTAAATGATGATTAGATCAAGTAAAATTCTTAATATGTCCCTTGCTTTATCACAAGAATCAAATTCATATCAGTGTCATAAGGGACTTTCAGAAGTTAAGAGTCAGAGGCCACCTAATCAAGAGTTGTATGAAAGCATGTCCAGAAGATCTGTAGCAGGAAAGTCAGTACATTGTAGTAAATACTATGTATACACAGTAATACCAAAGCAATTAAGTTCATCATAGATGCAAACATTTGGAGTAATATTGTAGTGGTTTAATTATTTAAAAGAACACGTCTTTGCATTTGTATATGTATCTCTGCCATGCATAACTAAGGTTTTTATTTTTTTAATATTTTGTTTTGTAAATCTACTAACCTTTTCTACCGCTTGTTGGGCATCTATAGCGATGATAACGAGTGGCAGGTTTTCTTAATGAGTTATTATTCTGACTAGACGCGATGAAGTCATTCAGAGAGAAGCTGAGATGAATGAAGAAATCAAGACAGTGGAGAGTGTAACGGGAAGTGTACTTCGAACAAGCACTCGCAGTCTGTGAGTAACAAGTCGCCTTTCAACACATTAGCAGCAAATGATGAATACAAACAACGTTTTTTTATGACTGTGTGGCCATTTCCTGACTGTATTTCACATGTAGGGGAAATCAGTACATGTCTGTGACCCCTCGACCCCTGTGCCCACAGCGACTCCTCCGGCCTGCAGCGGCAGAAGCCTCTGGGCAGATGGTCCAGGCTGCTCCGCCTGTACAGCTCTGCGCAGGCCAAGTTCTACTTGAATATCGTGTCTTACTTCGCCTTCCTCTTCCTCTTTGCTGTGGTGCTGATGATCGACTTCCAGGCTACGCCCTCTAGTGGGGAGGTGCTGCTTTACATCTGGCTGCTCTCGCTGGTGTGTGAGGAGGTCAGACAGGTGAGAGAGAGCTGGGACATGTTTTATCTATGTATGCCTTATTCCAGTAAATTCTTATATTACTCACTACATTACTGAACTGTACACCACAGGCCAATTGTCTTAATGTAAGTAATAAACTGAGAACATTTGATCAATATGTCTATGATTTAAATTATTGTACTTAATTACCTGTAGTCTCTTGCAAACATATATTGCATTTTAAAATACAAACACTGAGGGGTGTGTTCTTATATCATACATAGCTTGATTTATGTGATATTTTCTTCCTAGAATCATGGCCAAAATAGATTTTTCAGATGTCATTATAACATTTTTCCCAATTTTGGAGTGATACAAAGAAATATCCAAATGTCCCTAACTAATATCCATTGACTCTAATTTGACAACAAAAGGGCACAATATTTTTGAACTTGGCTTTATACAATATTTAGATTTTGTTGCCTGAAATCTATGCAAAACTGCACTTAAGTTAAGACAATGCCTCATTTGCATGATCAAACACAATTTATTAGAAAACGTGTGATACGCAAAGTATCTTTAATAAATAAACTGGGGAAGTTTCCTGGTGATAGCCGTTCATTTCTTTACCCTTTTGACCTGTAGTGGCAATGGCCTTACATTGGCCTTAATGTGTCTTTTCCATCTCAGCTGTTTCACGATCCGGATGGCTTTGGGTTTCGTAAGAAAGCCAGGATGTACATCAACGACCTGTGGAATATTTTAGACGTTCTTTCCATCCTCTTCTTTATTATCGGCCTCGCATTTAGGTAAGCATCCTTCCTCCCAGACAATCTCTTTAGGCCATGGAAGTGCTTTCCACCCTCTTGGTAATGTATGAATCATCACGTTTTTCTATTTCAGGCTGACGACTGAGCTGTTCTATGCGGGTAAAATCCTCCTCTGCATCGACTTTGTGGTCTTCTGCCTCCGGCTAATGGCCATCTTCACTATCAGTAGAACACTTGGACCCAAAATCATCATCGTCAGGAGGATGGTGAGGCTTACGTACAATGTAATAGATGCCAACCTAATGTAATGTGTATGCAACTGCAGAGCACAAAATGCTACACTCCAAAGCACTATTTATCTTATACAAAAATAAACTGCTGCTCCACTGGGCCTCCATCTGGTGTCTGCAGATGAATAATGTGCACTTTGTTGGAACTTGAAGGTGTTTTTGAACAAAATGTTGCAGCTGGTCTGCTTGTTGCTAAGCAGTCAAACACCATTATTGTTTGTGTCAGAGATCAAATGTTGAGCAAGAGGGCAATCTTTGAAATACTAAAGGGTTAGGGTTATGATGCTCAAAGCAGAAAGCTGGCACATCCAACTCTCTGAAGTTCTTTGAATTTCAAATGTAACCCAGTAAAAGTCTCCACTGTACATTCATGGGCAAATGTTCTACCCAGGAGTTTAGCCTTTTTTGATGTTTCTGTGGTTTTGTGTTCCTTTTGGGTAACTGTGTTATGTTTATTTCTGCCTTAATGGTCATTTTGTGTCTTTTTTGGTTGTTATGTCTCTCTGCATTAATTTTTAGTCTCTTCTTGTTTGTTTTGTCTCTATGCAAAAAGTCATTCTGAGGCTGTTCTGCTTGGTTGCATTTTTGTCTCTCTTTGTAGCCTTTTTTCTAGTTTTTTTGTGTCTCTTTGGATTAATTGAATGTCTCTTTGTGGTGTAAGGGGCTAAGAGGCAGGGTAGTGGGAGGCACCTACATTCCCAACAGGTGGCTTCACCCTCTCCCAATTACCAGTATTGGGAGCAGGTGTGGAGACACTCACACCTGGTGCTAATCACTCCCTCAAGGGAGACAAAGCACACAGAGTTGTGTGTGGCACATGGAGGGAGCAGGAGGTTCCCAGTGTAAGGAAACGTTTTGGTAAGCTGGTAAGTCGTTTAGCGGCCCGGCTACGTTAGCCTTTGTTTATTGGAGGTATTTTTGAGTTTGATAGCAATAAAGCCTTTTTTTTGGATTTGAACACTGCCTCTGTCGTGATTGCTGCACTACCACTTTCCTCTTTATCTGCCCAGTCCTGCTACAGTGGGAAAACAAACAGTACATGTCCCTAGTTGCCGCAGTATTCAGATGTGCCCACATTTCTAAGTGTTTCTAGCCTATGACAGATGTATGGTTGTCTTCCAGATGACGGATTTGTTCTTCTTCATGTTCCTGCTGAGTATCTGGGTGGTGGCGTACGGTGTGGCCAAACAAGGCATCCTCATCCACAACGACAACCGGCTGGACTGGATTGTCCGCGGGGCCGTTTATGAGCCGTACCTCATCATATTTGGGAATTTCCCCACAAATATTGATTGTGAGTGGAAACAGAACAGACAGTTGTATAACTTTCCTTTTATACGTACGTGGAAAAGCATGACTTAAAGGTTTCCTATTATACTATTTTTAGGCATATATTATAGGTCTCAGATATATAACAATTTATAAAAAACATGTCTATGAAGTGTTTTGCTCAAAATACAAAACAGATCACCCTGTCTAGCCATGCCTCATATCCCTCTATTTCAGCCCTGTAAGAGAAGTACTGATTCTGGGTCCTTAGCTTTTCTTTTTTTTTAAGTTTGAAAAAAAAGAGGCGGGGGGAGCTTACGCCTGCTCAGAATTCTACCAGAGAGATTCTCAGCTAAATGCTGCTGTGATGAAACGCCATATCATGTTCCAAACCACATCAAAGATTATTTCTGAAACAGTATGGAGCTCAAATGCTTTTTCTCTTGCCGGTTTACCACAAGGTGAGTTCTTTTTTTTATTTCCTGCTTTTTTTACACATACTCTCTCCAGTACAGGTTAGCTCTGAGTGTTAGCGATGCTTGCTAATGTAAAAAAAGACCATATTACTTCCAAAACACGTTGCGCATTGTTTCTGATGGCGACGTTTCTGAAAGCCAGCCCACATTTCCGATATTACGTCATATAAAGTGCATTTTGCATGATAGGAGACCTAATCATTTCTAGGTTTTCACAGGGCTCAGAAGTGATGATATAAGATATTTTCAACAAGGAAATGATCTGTTTGCCCTCTGCAGATGCTGACTTTAAACTAGACTCCTGCACCATGAATGGCAGTGATCCTCTAAAGCCCAAGTGTCCTGTGCTGAATGAAAACCAGATGCCAGCCTTCCCCGAGTGGCTCACCATCATCATGCTTTGTATTTACCTGCTCTTTGCCAACATACTGCTGCTGAACCTGCTCATCGCCATCTTCAAGTGAGTTCACCTCCAAACCTCTGAGTCCTTTTTATCCGATGTTCCCCCGTTACCCTCTGTCTCTCTTTGTGGTCCTGCACAGCTTCACGTTCCAGGAAGTTCAGGACAACACAGACAGGATATGGAAGTTTCAAAGATACGAGCTTATCAAGGAGTACCATAGCCGCCCCGCTGCCCCGCCCCCTTTCATCATCCTCAGCCATCTGTACCTCTTCATTAGGAACGTGGTGCTGTGCAGGACGCCCATCACTACCACAGAGTTCAGTAAGCATTTGGTTATTTATTTCTGCCCATGCTCAAAGTAGACTTCCTGTTAAGATGCTGCAGACTTCCTCTCAATATTTTTGCTTTATCGCTATTTTTAAAAACGTTATTATTCATTAAATATTACTAATTTAACATGTAAGAGCCAGATTGTTATCAGTTTAGTCAAACACTGCTTTGGTAAAGCAAGCATTTTCATCAATTTAGAGCTTTTAAATGATTGTGTTTTTAAAATGGGGTTACAATTCCCTTCATAATTAACCACATGTAATAACAAAATTATATGTTTAGGTCATAAATTAACAACTAAACCAGATCGTAACCCCTGACCCTCCCATGACCTTTGACACTTCACAGTCAATGCTGTGTATGATTGTGTGCTGATGCTCATTTTGCATACACAGTGCACAGTATTAAAGATAATGAAAAGGCATGCGATGCTGTTTTCAGAGTGCGAGCTTCCTCAGGTGGAGGAGGAGGAGCTGCTGTCCTGGGAGGCCATGATGAAGGACAGATACCTGCTGTCCACACGGCAGGAGCAGAGCCAGAGCATGGAGCGCCGCATCGTGGACACGGGACAAAAGTAAAACTCCTACAGGAACGCAGACCAGCGTGGCTGAAAAATAATACTCTAGAGCAGTGGTTCTCAAACTTTTTCTGTCAGATTTATCTTTAAATATTGAAGTTAAAAGCATCAATCTGGTGCACTTTGAGAGCAAAATGAAGAGATCTATGGATACATCTCTCAACACCTAGATGAAACGGAACTGTAAACAGATTTACTTTTTCTTTATGGATATTTTACAAATCACCCTTTTAAACTTTATTCTTGTTTTACTGTCATATAGTAAATTTTCATACCTGTTTTTCATTTATTCTCTTATTTTTTTTAAGAGAATAAAGCGCGCCCCCCACTTTGAGAACCACTGCTCTAGAGCAATGCTGTTCTGTCGGGATCCAAAGTGTGATTTTTTTTAAGTGTAATTTATTCTTTCTGAAATCATATCCATTACAGTTTTGCATAGTGACATAGTATTATAGAAATAGGGGAAACAGGAATAGATAGTGGAATAAAATACGGTAAAAAAAAAAAAAAAAAAAAAAATTATAAACATAACGTATAAACACTACGAAACTACGAAAGTTGGATTTTACCTCCATAAATGATCCTTTAGGAATACAACAATCCTGTATCATATAACAAAAAATTCAATTTATTTTTTCTTTAACTATCAGCAAGATACCATAGTCTGTGTTTTTCAGGTTTAATAAGGGTCAAATTTGATGAAACTAAACAATCTGGGAGTGGTATTCAAATATCCAGCAGACACCCACACTGGTCTTGTTTGTTTCCTGAGGGTTACCACCATAACAGAGCGGCTGGAGAGGGAAGAGGAGATGGGCTCTGATGCCACGGTGCAGAGACTGGCTCGACTAGAGGAGCAGGTTGTGACCTGATTTTTGGTTATCACAAATATTGCACCTGTGTCTGTAACATTTCACACTATGTACGAGGCAGAGAAGAGATGACACACTTTCTTAATGTGTGTTTGTGGAATATTCTCTCGAATTGTCATCTTTGAGGTTGCATAAGCAGTCATAAAATGTGTTTGACCCATTTCTGTTGTGTCTCATAAGGTCATGCAGTCCGCCAAAGCCCTGCAGTGGATTATGGAAAGTCTGAAATGTCAGGGTTTTACAGCAAAAGATGCACAACCACCAAGTTAGCAACCAACTTCTTAATTTATCATAATTTCTAACATGTTTCACAACAAATCTCCTCTTGTTCGTGCTCACTTTTATTCCCTTTTCCCTGCAGCACTGACCACAACAGAGGAGTCCACTGATATGTATGCATCAGAGAAAGAGGACAAGTACCATGTGAACGCCCGTCAGTTTTACTATCCCAACAGCAAACTCACACGCTTCCCTGTGCCTGAAGAGAAAGTGCCATGGGAGGTAATACACAAACATTTCTCCACAGCACCTCCAGCATCATCACCAACATCACTGTGGTAAAAGATAGTTCATGAAGCCAGTTTGTTTCCTGTCACTTTTTTTCAGTTCAGCTTCACCTGTTACATGCCGTCTTATTACACGTCTGAAGAAAGTGGGGACCATGTGGATGGGTATGTCATTTTCTTACAAGAGAATAAGGGATGTTTGTCCCGATTAGGAAGGTGTGTATAAGTACAGTTATGGGGTGGGTATGGATGTTTTTGTAAAAATAACAATGTACAGTATGTTCCTATTGAAACATCTCTCACTAATAGGAAATATAACAAATTACAATGCTCCCTATTTCTTATGTTTCCTTTTCTTTTTGCAGATCAGAATCAGAGGCCTCAAATAATTACAGGTATGATATTCAAGGATACTCAAGGCATCAAATAGCATTTACATGAACCTTTTAAGCTTGTGTTGATAGGTGATGTGTATCTGATCTGTCGTTAGAAATCCAGGAGGGAGGACTGGCATGAGGGGACGGGGTGCACTAAGCCAACTGGGTCCAAATCCCAATCTAGACCTCGTGCTGACACGGTACGTTAAGAAAGTTGTTTCCCCACATCTGTATTGCAAAGCCTGTTTATGACTTTGAATCCATCTTTTAGCTGGGGAGACAGCGAGTGCTCTGTTTTGGACTACCTGGTGGTTTGGGATGAGAAGAAGGGAACCTTGGCTTTACCTGGGGTGCGTCCATCTTTCCTAACTTAATCTGTTTTCTTTCTTTTTGCATTATTTAAATAAATGAACTGTTCTGTTTTGGTTTCAAACCTTCAGGGACCCATTGAATCTGCTGATCACCTGCCAGTGATTCTTAGGAGAACCATGGGAAAGAAGATGTATGAGATAGTAAATGCCAAATTATCAGAGGGAACAAAGGTAGGTCTGTTCAACACTTCAGTTAGACTTATAGAGTAAGTTGGTTTACTCACAGCAATCGGATAAAGGATTGTTGTTAGTATAAGTGTCTTGTCACATTATGTAGAGAACCCTTTAACATTGAAAGAAACAACATATTTTGCTTAAATTCAGTCTGTTTGTTATGTGTCTCACTCTGGTTGTCTCGGGAGAGGTTAGGTATCTGCATTGTCAAAATCAGCTTAATATTAGTAATGACACTACAAATATTTTGGCTAACACTGAGCTCTGTATTTGAACACACCAAACTCTGTCAACACTAGAAACCAACTGTGTAGCTTGCTTGGAAACAAACACTTAGTTGTTAATTGAGTCCACCTAGCCTAATCCAATGTAATCCAATACAACAGTGCGTAATAAATCCTACCTTCAAGAAGAGAGGAGTTGGATCACTTGTCGGATCCTTTTGGAGGATGCAATTTAAGGTGCAATTAAACGGTATTGCCTTATACTGACAGGTTATACTATACAGCCTACCCGTATGGATACATGATCACACTCAAGAATACCTCCCTTCAAAAATGTCAGATGTCTGACAACATCAAAGTCTTCTACCGAGAAAATGTGATGCATTAAGTTGAGGCTCCTTTCAACTTAAATGGCCAGTGCCTTGATCAAGTAAACATGGCTGTTGTTAGAGGTTAAACCTGTCTGATGATGAATACATCAATGATACCTATATATATCTGTTTCTTTACTCTGACATTGAGGAAGTTGTCGACTATGACTTGCACTTACTGTGTTTCAGGTGTTTGAGGGTTATGTGGATGACTGCAGAAACACAGATAATGCCTGGGTGGAAATCACAGTCCTTAACATTCACCTGGACAGAGCAAGCCAGACGACTGACGATATCAACAGTATGGTGAGAACATTGTTATTGTATTCTTCCTCTTCATTTGGATGATTTTGGCACAGTCCGACATCAGGTCATGATTCCTCATAGAGTGAATATAGAATTAGCATATCTTTGTTTTGTGATTATCTCCATCTCAGGTGGTTAGCAGCCATGGCGCTCTTCAGTGGCGAGAGGTGAGCGGTAAAACCAGACTTAGCTCCAACCAAGGAGACTCACTGCGGCTGGTTGCAGAGCTGCACAACAGGAAGTTCTGATGTTCAACGCGGCTGTAGCTGTAAATGTGCCTCTCCATCCACAGGGTTCCTTCATGTTGCCTTATGTTGATGCTGAAATGTTATTCTGTTGAACTGAATGCACTTGAAACAAGACTCTATAAAGCCATAATGTATGCTGCTATGGATTATTTTCAACAATTTGCACAGATGTTATTGGCCAGTACACTGAATGTTTAGCCCACACACTGTGCTTTACTGCTCATGCTTATGTAGGCACTAGGCAGTAATAGTGTATATGTAAACTGATCATGAATACCTCCTTTCTGAGGAAGTTGTAATTTAAAGGAATGGTAAGCTCATGACACTCATTTAATTTTTTTTATCATCCGATAAAACAGACCAGTCTCTGCCAGTCTCTCTTTTTTTTTTTTTTAATCCGATGACATTATCAGTGATTTTAAACTGATTAATTACCGAAATAACATCAACACTGTGGGTGGCGCCATTTTACCGGACGTGACGTAAACCATGCGTTTGGTTTCGAGGACACGTTGATGTTCATGTTATTTACTGTAGTTACTCTCTTCAAATATGCCTCATTGTATCGCGAAACATTGCCACAATTCTGATAGGAACAATCCACGGAATGCTCGGTTCTATCTGTTGCCAAAAGGTAAGCGTAGGAAGTACGTTCGGAGGCAGTGGCTAGCGAAATGTGGCCGGCCCGAACCGAAAGATCCACAGGCGCATGTATGCAGCGAACATTTCAAGTTTCCGGACGACTACTCTGAGAGTATGATAAAACATAATATGGGATTTATTGAACAACCATTACTTAATGGAGATGTAGTACCATCGGTCTTTCTGGTGTCATCACCGACCAGGACACCAGTTCGGCCAGTTGAGAAATCGCTCTCTGCAAGTGTGAAGCGACGGAGGACCAGAAGTAGTGCTCGGAGTAAGAATAAGGTATGTTATGGCGCATTTCCATTGCAGCGGGTAGCCCCGTTTAAACGTCCTTTATCGTCCAGGCCAGGCCAGTTTTTGGTGGCCTTTCCATATAGAGTAGTACCGGCTAGTGGGTATTTCCCCCCAGTTTTTCCGGCCCCATAAAATCGTGGTTCTAGGGCCAGGGACAACGAGGCTGAGTATGCTAAACTAGAGAGGGAATCGCTAGCAAGGGTGGTACTACCTGCATACATATCTAGTAATCAAAATCATTGTATCTACTAAGTAGTACTAAGTAGGCTCGAACCTGTATGGCTGAATTCCCCCTTCCAATCTCTTCATATTGCTCAAAACTTCGCCATGTTTTCGTGTGTCCCCAAATGTCTTTCTTTTTGGTGTCTATACGCCGGGACCCGGAGTCATGGATGATCCTGCGCTCCTCTGTCCTGGATCTTGAGTCGTGGCTGTGGTCCTGGATCATAGGTCCTGGATGGATATCCTCGTGGATTCATCTTCCTATTATACACACATGCATTTCCAAACATTTGGACTACCTATGTTGCAAATGTATTATCTTTTCAATTTACACACGTCATCTATTGCACGTCTGTCCGTCCTGGGAGAGGGATCCCTCCTCTGTTGCTCTCCCTGAGGTTTCTCCCATTTTTCCCTTTAAACTGTGGGTTTTCTTCGGAAGTTTTTCCTTGTACGATGTGAGGGTCTAAGGACAGAGGGTGTCGTATTGTCATACTGATATTTTGTACAAACTGTAAAGTCCACTGAGACAAATGTAACATTTGTGATATTGGGCTATATAAATAAACATTGATTGATTGATTGTGTTTACAAAGTGAACGCATGGATGACGTCACGACCATCACGTGACTACTGAAAATGGGCAAAATGGCAGCGGCCTGACGGAATATACAGGTTTTGATAAAAAAAGAGCTATAAAATCATTATTTACCGGGGAATATCGCTGATTTCTTCAGGGTATGGTTTAAACATAATGTTTCACTAAATACTGAAGTTTTGATTAATTATCTAATGAGTGGAGCATTCCTTTAATGATTGTTTCCATTGTATGCTTCTCCATACTTTTACATCATTTCGGAGGCAAACCTGGTACTTGGTACTTAACTACATGTATCTGAAAGTTAAATGTAGTAGAAGTTACTATAGGTGTTACTTTTTCCATACAAAACATACAATGATCTTGTGATCATGATCTAATATGTATTGTTCTGGATGGCCAACGCTAGAACTATAAAAAGGTCCAGCTCAACCAAAAAGGTAATGCATCAATAATAATGCAATAAAATGACTTGCGGCATGTAACTTCTGAAAGGGGCCATAATGAAGACTGTTCTTAAAAATATATTTTGCTGCCAATACCTTTCCTTAACTAAATGCAGGAGTTTCACTTGTAATGGAGTTTTTTTTACACCCTTAATATACCTAAATAAATCTGCTCAATGTATCTGTGTCAAGATATCAGTGTATGTTGCCTTTAACTCCAGCGCAACCCTTACATAATCAAGCACTCTAGCCTTAACAATTGTAAATAAAAACCTAAATTTAATGTGTTTTGCCTGCATTTGCTGTTTGTCGTTCAACTTCTGCAAGTAGGCTTATTTAACTTAAAACGGAACACTTTTGAATTCATCTCAGCACAGTGAACTCGTGCACATGTCATTTATTTATCTTCCACAGTGTTTTTTTCCCCACCTGCCAGGCGTGCAGTCCGCAGTAGTTTCGGAGCATGTTGTGAGGCTGCTCATTGGCTCAGGGCCTCAGGCACATGTGGCCAGACTGTGCAGTATCGGTTTCACACCCTCTTCATTCCTCTGCTAGGTAACTTTCCTCCTTTTGATAAATGAAGTATTGCTTCGACAGAAAATCAGAGAGCATGAAAATACTCTGAACATACAGAGCTGTGACTTTAATGTGTAACTAAGCCTTGTGAACTGATTGCAAAGTTCCGACATGCACCTGCTTAAAGACGTTTACGTTTACTTGTTAATATTATTCTCTGCGTACCCTTAGGCAATCTTGCTCAACAGTTAAATGTTTTTTTTCTCTGTAAACAACTTCACTGGCTTTATTTGTATTATTGTTCCTGTCACTGGCGGGGAGGCGCCATTGAAAATATACAAAAGCTATTTTTAACCACAGCGAAAAAAAGCGAAGAGGTCCCACTCCGCTCGTATTTCATGACACTGCAAAGAGGGTCTGAAGAGAGCAGTTACTCTGCCAACAAGTGAATCACTAGACCACATTATACATTAAAGTCATACAGACATTAGATGAGTTATGAGCATACATTTGGTTCAAAAAGATTATTCTTTTCAAATGTGGAAAACCATTATGCACACGAACAAATACAAAAAGCACACAATAGTACAAGATAAGACGGATCCTAATGTATCTATTTATGATGTCTTAATGTTTATGAACAGCAAATATGCATGCAAATGTGGCCCTGCTCTCAGTTTTCATATATATTTATTGTATAATTTGTCCATGGTTATGATGTATTTACGAGTTCTCGTCAATGTAGAGCTGCTTTTATCTTGATAACTGTCATGTAGTTTGATTCATAAATATGCATAATATTTGTAGTACTGCTCAAATGTGATACAGTAAATGTTAAATATTCACTTAAAATACAATTAATAGGCTAACGTACACAGTAGGTTTGTCTTTTATTAGTTAAAATGTGGGATCACATAATGCCTATTATTCATACAGTACACAGTCTACCTCCCATGATAATGTATCACTTTACAGTATGGACGCATCAGTACGGTAGACGATCTTTGAAGACGCGCGGAGGGCTTTACAGGTGTCCGGAAGTGACGTAGCACGCTTACAAGACCAGAGCAAATAGATGGACCGAGAGAGAGCAGCAGTCGGACATCTCTGCGGGACCTGGGCCCAGCGCAGCTAAACGGTAATATTCTTAATTTTGTATGACTTTTACCAAAAGACGTATCGTAGTTGTGACTTCACATGGCCATCGTTTTACGAGAAAATGTGTTGTTTTGTTGTGGAATGAAGCGAAGTGTGCAGCTGTCAGCGGAGTCTATAATGAATGATCACGACAACGATAGCCGGTTAAACTGTTTGCTGGTTATGAGACGATTTAAAAAAACCACATCAACACATAATACACGTAGCTGTTCACATAGAAAGATTGTAGCACTAGTAAGAATCTCAAGGAGTTAAACAGCAGCTTTAAAGTCGTGCAAGTATTAAAGGGTTGGAGTTCTTTTCGCTTTAACCACTCAGTGGACAATCTTGTTGAATCAGACACAATACTCTTTTCTTGCCTGTTTTTTCTTGCCTGGAGAAGAAGGAAATTATAGGCTGCTGCAGGAGTGGAGGCTAAATTATAGTGGGTGGTGAAGAAGTGTTTGTTTTTTTAGTAACATGTTACTCAGAATCTGCTTTTGTTATGTTTTTGACTACGTGGCTAAATCAAGATTCAAAAAAGATCCTCCACACAGTTTGCTATTTCGTTTGAGATTGTGTAAACAGTCAGCTGATAGTGTGTTAGTTACACCTGACTGATATGTGTATAACCCTGCTGTAAATCCCACCTCCATGGATGATTGAAGTTGGGATATGCGCCAGTGAGGCTTTAGTTTGTGAGGCTGTTGGATTGTATTGCATCATAATGAGAGAGGTTTATAATGTTTTGTCCATCCATGTGTATTATTATTTAGTATTATAAACAATTTAGCATAATGCAAATCAGACATTCTTAAACCTGGCTTTATGAAGTCCTGAGTTGAATCCGGAACAAGTCATTATACACCTTAAAACATATTCAATTGTATTACAAAAATAATAAGTAATAGCATTGTAATATAATGCTTGCCCTTATAGTATATATATATATATATATAGTATAAAATATAGTAATTGCATGTATATGAAATGAGGAGTAGATTTGCACCTCACATTTTTATAACATTCATTTGACATGTGGATTTGGAGAGGATATCAATCCATTATAAGGAACACTTTTACAATATAATGCAAGTCATCGGTGTAAAGGTCAATGTCAACTTTTGGGATTTGTTAATTCATGACACAAGTCTCTCTCTTGTCCTCATGATTGTCAGGAAAAACAGACCAACAATTAGAATCCTCATTTCCTTTTTAAACCATTTCCCCCCCCCCAAAAAATTGACAATGAAACCGTTATGAAGGTAGAATTTATTGCAGGTCAGGTGTTGTTTTAGACTGAAATAGTTCAAAATGGTGGTAGTGTGGGACAGCGGCACCGGATTAATTTCAGAAGTGGGGGGGGGGGCAAAAAAGTGCGTGTGTATGTGACATAGCCTACTTGCCAACCCTCCCGATTTTCGCGGGAGACTCCCGTTTTCCTCCCGGGGTCATATTTCTCCCGCATTTTTCCCGATTTCTGACTAAATCTGATTTGTTTCATTCTAACATAACGCACCAAATGTTACCGTTTCCACTCGGACTTCAATACAGCTACACCATTGTTTGGTTTCCATGGTAACGTGTCTCTTTAGTAGCGCGAGCAAATGAAAGTCTTCAGGAGGAAGATAGTCAGAGAAAACAGAACAAGAATGGACAACTCAACCCTCTGCTCACTCCTTTCCTGTACATTAAACTATACAGACCAGCCCACACATGACAGCGCAGTTGCTCATTCCATCTCTTCTTTTTTCCTGCTACGCTCTTGTTTGACAGGCTGAATGTTGACTGGTGTTTGACTGAAGTAAGCTCTGTGAAAAGTTCCAGTTATTAACTCGGTATTTACAAAGCTGTCATCTCCACATTTGGAGAAAGTTACAAGCCGTTTGACAGCAGCACATCTGCATATTTCACAGAAGGCTCGTTTAGTGGTTTTGCAAATAATTAACCACTCTCTGTTTTTGTACCATTCTGCATTGAAGTACCTTCTCTTTGTCCAAATAAGCTTTTATTTGCCCGTCTCAATGTCCCGACAACAAACCTCCATGCAGTCGGAACCAGCCTGTTTCGGTTCAACGACGGTTTTGACAGCCTCTGCGGCCGCAGAGCTGCTGCTGGGGTTCATCTGGATGCGCTGGTTCTATGGTTGAAGGACCAGGCTCCGGAGTTGTGGATGTCAGGGATGTGACATTCAAGTTGTTGAATTTCAGCTTAGTTTGACTGTATTTTGTTTTCTTATGCGCCGGTTCTTCTGACATGTTTGCAAGTTTATCTATCTAGGTTAACGGCTGACACACACTGAACAACGTAACACATAACGTAAACAACGTAACAAATAAACACATCTAAGCTTTGTTATTGGTTGTAATGTACATGGATACATTTGAATGGTGTGACAATGTCCTATTTGATTGGATTAAAATGTACATATTCTTCCTGTTATGTCTGCCTGCTGTATTTTACCTAATGCAAAGTGACCTGCTCCATCGAAATCAGTCGCATTGATCCGAAGACACATTTTGAGTTGTATACACTGTTGGAAAGAGGAGATTCCTAGCTTTCTAATGATATCAGGATTGTTTTTGTACTATATTAAGCAAAATATGTCACATTATATAATGACTGTCACCGAGTCATCATTTTGAGAAAAAGGCCTTTAAAGGTTCCTCTTCTCTGGATCGATCTGATTGATTATTAGCGGAGCAAATGATCAAAATACTACGGTGGGAAGATATTTTTGTTTGGATTACTGGTCTGGGGGGAGCTCGCGAGTGTGTTTGTGTATACGTGTGTGTGTTTGTGTATTTTTGCGTTTGTTTCCCGGGGAAAACTTTCAGGAGAAACACCGGCTGTTGTTATGCTTGCTGTGACGTCAAGTTACTCCGTTCTCCGCTTGTAATTATGCCGAAGCTTCAAAGCTGTATTTATCATCTGAATTTGCAGAAACAAGTTTAATATTCTGAAAGCCAAGACTTTGTTTATTTGAAATCAGATGAAAACAAACTGTAACGGACCCTGCGGTGTTATCTATGATTACTATGCCTAACATTCATAATGTCAGCGGAGGGAGGGGAAGCGGCGCTGTAGAAGAGCAGAGTGGCGAGTGAGAGGCGAGCTGTGTTCTTCCCTTTACAAGCTTCAAAAATGCCTGTAGCTAATGAGATTGAATATAACAATCAACAATAACAAAATATACACAGCTAGATCAGATGGCGTTCTTTTTAGATGCGACTTTAGAGTAGAGGGGAATTATTGAAACGGGATGTGTACAGGGTTCCGCGGCATCTGCTGCTGCGAAAATGTTGGGCAGGGCCGTAAAGTGGGGGGGCCAATGGCCCCCTGGCCGCCCCGCTTCCGGCGCCCTTGGTGTGGGACTGCTAACATCTCCCCCTGCATGCTCCTTGTGAGCAGCTCTCAGCGGCCATCTGACACAAATCAGAGAGGATCATCCATCTGTCCTTCAATAAGACTGAGTGTCACAACAGTGCATTCTGTCCCACATGACAGTCAGTCAGCAGTGGAAGGCACTACATGTGTGAGAGCTGGATGCTGTGTACTGTCACTCCAGCCTCATTGTGCCGAGTGCAACATTTCCAGTTAGTGTCCACGTGTGTGTCACTAATGTCTCGGCCTCTGTTGTAACTGCCCCCGTGTGTGGTGCAGTTACAGGTCACACAATGGGCCGAATGTGGTCCCCCGCTAACAACGTGTTGATGGCTGCACCTCTCAGGTAGCCCAACACTGGCTTTACAGCAAATGTGAGCAAATGAACCAAATGCTTTTTTTAACACGAGGACATAGTAAAATGGACTTTCAAACTTGGTGACTTGTTCTTTTTTAACTATGGGAACTATAGGATTTGTTTTTGCTTAGCTCCACATACACTATTCTAGAGCCAAACATTCTCACTAGCACAACTAATTTGTACTCTCGCTGAAAATGTTCCCTAGAAAATGCAATATTGAGTGCCTGTTGTAAAAAAATAAAGTGCAACAATGAATTTCTGCTGAGTTCTTGTCTATGTCAGCGTAAAATATGCATACATTTTTAACGCAACGACTTACGATATGACAGTTAAATATTCCTGACCGAGATGATAGCGATTTACAATATTCGCCTGATAATAGACCTAGTCAAAACACAAACCAGAGACATACAAAAGATCTCAAATAAGGTCATCATAAGGTCCCCCGGCATATAAAGGATAAATACAAAGAAATAGCATGATTGTGTAAATCGGTTTTTCCTTACGCGATAATTCCTGTGTTTTTATTTTTTTGATATCAGTCCCTATTTTTCACTTTGCTACCATAATAGCTTTTTAATAATAATACCACAATAACAGCCTTTTTAAGTCTTTCATGTGAGGATGTTAACAATGATCCAGATAATTGCAATTCACCAGTGAACTTATTGTGAGTGTTTCCTTATCCCACTGTGTGATTAAATCCCATATCGGGCCATTCCCATAAATGTCTTCAGAGGATATGATCGAGCTGAAGCATGAGTGCAACACACAGGATGGGATATTGCTTTGAAAGTCCTGGATTTGTCGTCAAAAAGAAAAATATAGATTACCAAAATCCTTTAACACTGAAATCCCTCTTCTGGAAGAAGTGGGTCACCGAGGTGATGCTGTTGCGTGGCAACGTTGTGTTTGACCAAGTATCAAGCGTTCCTGCACATTTGAGTTCATGAGTTCCAGGTCACAGCGAGCGTCAGGGAGGGAGGGAGGGAGGGAGCGAGGGTGGGGCTCCTGATGCTGGCATGGAGACAGGAAGCTGTATTTATGTAATTGACATGTGTAGCGACAGCAGCAGTGTAGCCTTGCAGCTGGTCTGATCTCTAATCCCAGCCCCGGAGACTCGGCTTGTTTGTTTTGGGTCACATTCATATAGTGGTGGGTTCAGTCAGTGTCCCGTCCCATCAGGCTTAATGAATGAACTCATCGCTGTGCTTCATAAGATTAAAGCACATTTAACATTGTACGGTTTGTATGTG